AGATGCTGGTTGTTAAGGAGCCAGCACCCACCGGCATCCATAACAACCAGTGAATACCTGCTTGTTAGGGAGGCAGCACATGGGGTAGCTAGCTATCCGCTGGTTATTGTAACTGGTTATTAAAGTGGAAATAAAGTCCTTAATTTAAACATCCACTGACAGGCAAGCGTTTAATAAATGTCAAATAATTGGAGTATGCAGCGCCATAAATAAATGATATAATACTAAACCATAAATCTCAGCATATCCGTTGGAACACAATATCAACAAATTGAGTATAAAAAGTCTGATATGTGATGAATAAACACAGCAAAAAGTTCCTGTGGGTTGAACACATGTGAAATATACACAAATAGCAGGAGCTTCAGATGTTCACTTGTTTATAAATCCTGAAGAATCTAGTACAATAATGCGCTTACCACAGGAACATACAAACTGAGCGTTGTATGTATGTCATCAGGTATACCATCAGCGAATGGAAAGGCCTGGACAGCAATGCGGGCAGTAACCGGTCATCCACCGTAGACACTCGGGGGTATCAGCAAACACTCGGGGGTCACATCTGGTTCACCGGTGGTTCTTTTCCCAGAGGTTATGCTGCTCCATGTGCTGGCATCCATCTTCATAAATGTCACCCCTGCCTGTCAACAAGTAATGTGATCTGAGCCACACATGCGCAGCTCAGACCACATTTACGGCCCACTTGGCGTGCCCGTGGTGGTGTGACGTCACCTCTGCCCGGCCAATCAAACGGCCAAAGATAAGAAACCCTGAAGGCAGACCTTGTGAAGATGGAAGCGCCGGGTACCAGGGAAAGCCCTGACAGCGCATTGCTGGAGGGCTCAGTTTGTAGGTAAGTCTGTCATAATGTACTAGTATTCGTTGCAAACTAGTACATTATGACTTAAACCTGTAGGGGGAGGGGCAGTCCGTTCGTAACATGTTACATGTTAGACCTTGAATAAGAGTGTAACATGTAACCTGCTATGAAAGGTGAACTTATCCTTCAACAATGTATTAATGAATACAGAGCTGCATTGTTTTTGTCTTTTTATAGCTGGCTAAAATTTAGCGTTCACTGATTTAGACTCGGTTCACACTGCTGTGATGTGAGTCTGATAATACTTTCAGTGCCATCATGTAGTGCGACCTTGATGCAACTTAAAATGTGACTAGTGTATTCTATGGAGCCAAATCGCACCAAAGTAGCACAGGAACCTTATTCAAAATCACACCGCACAGTTGCATTGATGTGAAAATGCACCATTGAAAGTAATGTGATTTCCCTTGTCATGCAACTCAGAAATCACACCAATATGAACACCAAAACTGAAAGTTTATTTGGGCCTTAATGCATGGTCTTAAAGTCTGTTTCCTGAACTGAAATCCCAAACAGTGTTGTCAGCCCTGCCTGTGTTCCCCCTTCTGAACTACAGAACACCCCCCTAATATTATAGAGATGAGGCAAGTGAGAGGTGTTCTGTTCAGAAGGGAGAAACTGAACCGGGCTAATAATATGTCTATATGCTCATAGTCTGGGTAAAGGCAGGCACTCACACATTTTAGCTGATGCTGACAAAATTAGGCTGATAATGTCTCTCTGTGGTTGCGGCTCAGTTCCCTGGTCTTCTCAACTGCCCCTATAAAAGGGAACCCACTCTTTTTACCCTCTCCGGCTTCTGCCCCCCTAACTTCTCCCAGCAACATTATACAAGTATGTAACGGACCCCAGACACCCACGACTGGGTATCTCCGTTAAGAAGCTGCTTCTCAGGCTCTGGAACACAAGACCAGTGACTCTGGCTATTGTTACCCCAAAATCCAGATGACACCAGATTTAAAGTAAGCCAGAGATAGATTAATTAATTTATTTGAACACAGATACAAGTTATATACACTCAGGGGACAGTCCCCCCTCCCTGCATAATGACACAGGGCAGGGCAATCTACATTTAGTAACAAGAGTACACAGGAATTCAAATTTCACACCAGCAGACAGTCCCATTCGGAGGGAGGGCTGCTGGTGACACCCCCCCCCCCCACTAAGCTAGTACACATAAACACATACATCCCATAATAGTTTGCTGCCAATCAAGACACACAATAGAACAATGGGATGCAACCACACAACACCAAACAATTCACAACCCCCACCCCACCTATCTCCTAGACATGTCTACACCATATTAGGATAGATCACCCTGTACCCCTAACAGGCACAGGGTGACTTACACATAAGAGGGATATGGGGAGCTGAGACATGGGGCTCCCCACCTCTCCAAAGTGAGCTGGGTTCCATGGGCCCCCCACCCAAAGTGACTCCCGTCACAAGGTACATACCAGAGATTACAGGAAATTAAAGCTTAAAACACCATGCTTGTCTAGAGGTGGCAAAAGGTTTCTGACCTCTGCCACTGTCAGCAAGCTTTGAAATCCACTATATGCCCCAAAGACACCATCAGGAATTATCACAGTGCTCCGGAAATACACCAGGCTAGAGATAGACGTTCTCTAAGCATGCCAGGAGCATTTCAAGTCAGTAACATTGAGCAGGGTAAACTCCAAGTTCTCATGATCTCCACTGTGGACTTATATTTACAAAGAAGCTGTAGGGTTAGAATTCATTAAGGGCAGTTTAGGCTCCTTACACAGGGTGCCAGCTAGCTGCTGGCACTCTATTGCGCCCAAGAGGGACAGGTTGTCAAGGTCCTACCTTTTCCCAGAGGTTATGTTACTCCATGTGCTGGCATCCATCTTGGATTTCTGCTGAGCATGGTGGGAATCTTTTATGCCTTCAGGTCTCTGAGGTCCATCCCCCAGAGGGGTGTGGCTGAGTACATATAAGCCTGTGATCCGCACATGCTCTTTGCACTTGTGTCTTTGTCTTGCTACAGCTCTGTGTATACTCTCGTGACTCTTCTGGTATCTGACTCGGCTTGTGACTATACCATTCTCTGTGTTTTCCTTCTATCTGACCTTCCGTTGCTGAACCCGGCCCGTGACCTGTGATTCTCTGTCTACTGTTCTGTACCGTTTTGTCCCGCTGTTGTCGACCTGGCCTGCCTGACTACGCTATTGTCATTTTTACCAGTTTCACACCATTGGCGGTGGCCATTACCGCAGCCGGGGTGTCTCGGGGGCCGCGACCTTGGTTCCTGGCTGCGTCAAGTCCATCCCCACCATCAGAGGCCCTGGTGAAGGACAGCCTGGGACTTAGACTCTGCGCCCTGAGGGACTTCGGTCTGTTGGTGGTGGTTGTCGTCAGTCAGTGCGTTACCCTGCCACTAGGCCTACCTGTCCGTGCTAGAGCCCTGCCCTGACACAGGTGCAGCATCCAGTAACGCTGCCTGCAACATGTCAAAGTCTGTGGGGCGTTGAAGGGAAGATGCTGAGTGCTTTACTGATTGATACTCACATTTAGGGCGCTCTACATTCAGAAGCAAATAAAAAAGAAGTCTAGCCGCAGAGGGTGATAGACTTTAACAGGCTAGACACTGCGCCTGTCTGTCCCGGGCACACCAAAACTCAGGGAGAGACACACAGAATCTAAATGACACGGTGTGCAAGGTGCCTTAAGGTTTACTTACCCTTCAGTGTATGTTACACTGAGTTCTATAGGATTGGGATCTTCCAAGACTCTACATTGAGCAGGAACAGAGCCAGCAGCTGTAACTACATTGTCTGAGCCCTCTAAAGCTAGCCATACATATTTAGATGTTTCCATCCAATCTAAACAGCATGGATGGAGTAATCTTCCCTGCCGGTTATTGTATTCTGGCAGCCAGCACCAGGGGCTGTCAGAATACCCATACAGTGATTGCATTGGACTGAATTCTGTAACCGTTAGGCAAACAATTTGTCCTTCGACAAAAGTTGATTGTAAAATTGACTTTTGTCAAGCCAAATGGTACCCACAGGGCCACCCCAGACTCAAACTTTCAGTGCTTTCCTGCTGAATCAGTCAAAATTTGAGCCATCTATAGTAGCATTAGAGAATATGTAAACCCAACATTTCCTATTCCTGATATGTACCTGCTGTATCATATACTTTTACCGAAAAGTATCCTGTTCTCTTTGTGTTGCTTCTTTTGTTTAAAATCCCTGGTGTTCCTGCCAGTCCCTCTGCTTTCCTATTTAAAAGAAAAAAAAAAACTGACCACACTAGGTAGGAGAGCACAGTGTGTTCAGTTTTAAACTGTGCTGGGAACTCAGCCTGCTCTGCTCTAACGATCAGCCTAGTCCTGACACACCCCCCTCTCTCCCATACAGCCATTCACTGGAAGACCAGTGTACTGTTATTTCTCCACCCCCAGCTCTCTATGCAGCTGAGAACAGAGGGTATGTGAAGAGAGGCATTAATCATTTTTATATCTATACACAAATGTTTTACTTTTAATCTCTATTTTAAACTGTATGAGTTGTCTTACAAGGTGGGGGTTTACATACACTTTGAAAATGCTTTCACTCTATTCTATGAAAAAAAGTAGAATGTATTTCTTAACAGTTTACATTGTCATTTGAAAATTCCATCTTTCCAGTAGAATCAGACTTACATTTTATCCCTTATTGCCTCTTCTTAGACATTGGTGATATCCATAGTGCCTTCCAGAACCTGAACTGCGAGATTTCCCAAGATTGTGGGAACTTGTATAGTTACTTCAGTATGCTGAGGTTGTATGCTTATATGGCTTGCTCACACTAAACAACCTAAAGCTCACATTGATGAAGTTATGGTGACATACAAACTACATGCAAGAACTCCAGATCTTACGCACACACCTTAGTTGACCTGGTTCAGGTGTCACTGGCTTCAAGAATCAGGTGAATGACACCATCCACCGATGACACAGAAATCAATATGGTGGCTGCCTTTAGCATAAAGTTGGGCAAAGAATCTATAAAAATGTGTAACTATAGGGCAAGAAACGTCGATGATTTTTGTAAGATAGTCAAAAGGCACCTATTGACGCTGACACAAGTGTAGGGAGGTTCACTTTAACTTACCTAAAAAATATTAAAGCATTCTGGAAAAACACAGCCAGTCCGGGGTAGACATTAGTATCTACAGAATAAATCAGAAAATATAATGTGAACCATTCACAGGAAAAATGGAAGGTGACATAAAGTTGGATTAATGACCAGCTACAGAAAACAGAGTATAGTAAAACTGCTATATATTTCTAGAGTATAAGCCAACTGTAAATATTCTCTATGGATACAGTGATCAGGGCAAAGTCTACAATGAACTCAACCTCTCCCAGATGCAACATTGATTTTAAAATTCCTTCTCTCAGGTGACCTGAGATTATTCACAGATGATTGACAGAATATGGTTGAAATATTAATCTATCCTGTAATTCTGCAAACAATGGATTACTAAACAGAGTACATAAATACAATAAAAGAAATATCTTTGGAAAAAGAAGTGGACAAGGAAGCACATTTGGTGTGACTGGCTCTGTTTTAAGTACTGTAACAGGTATAGTTTTGCTGAAAGAGATACTCTGACTTAAAGCCCAACTCTACCTTCCTGCACCATTCCTTCCCCTTCTGAGGTCCCCCATATGCATTTTTATACTTCTCTTGCCAGGGAGTGGATTGAATGTGGAAGTGGAGCTAGAAATGACAGCAGTGGGCCATTTGCAGCCACTGTTCTGCAACATGGAGCTTCTGACCACTGTTGAGAAGCTTTAGGCTAGATTCACATTTATGCCACTCTGCATTTTCATGCAGGAAAAAGGTTTCTGCATCTTTTTTTTTTTGTAAATGCAGCATTTTCAGATGCATGGAGATGTCATTAAGAATGAATGGCAGCAGCGCATTTCGGCTGTGGGTGGTCGTGGGTGCGGAACAGGTGCAATTTACACGCTGTCCTGCACCCGCAACCACCCAGTTCACACCAGAACATGGCGCAGGAAACCCACATTCTGTGCACATTTCTTGCACCGTGTTTAAAATGCACTGCACTTGCTATCTGCAATGGGTTTCAGTGTAAACTTAACGACACCCCAAACACAGATCACAAACACAGTGTGTTTACCTGCACCGGATCACATGGGACAGTAGTCACATGCCTTTTGGTGCAGTCCGGCGCGATTTCAGCCCATTCAAATGAATGGGCTGGAATCACACTGCACCTGGATCGCATGTGAATCGCACAAGATGGCACACCACGTTCCAGTGGGATTCCTCATGTAAACTGCACCTTACTCTTTTTCATTTGTGTGCAAATTAATGCGGTGACCTTTGGTCTGTATATGATGTTAGTTCCTATTTAACCCCTTACTGACCATTAGTGAACACTAATGAGCCCCAATTAAATCCTTCTGTCTCTATGTTTTTTTAAACCATTAATATGTAATATTATTTTTCTCATTTGTTTTTTTTTTTTTTGGGGGGGAAACGACTTTTATTTCATCTGTAAATAACTTTGCAATGCTTTCACAAGCACTATAATTTTAGTGTCACTATAAACAGGACGAATTATAGAATAGAAATGTACTTTTAGTCTACAGTAAAGCCGTTTTTTTTTTTTTAAACTAACATGAAGAAGCAAAAAAACATGATTATTTTAGATTTGTAATGTATTTTTATCTATACATTACACTGAAAATATTTCAAGACAACATCAAGAAAAGAGCCTTGTTCACCCCCTAAAAAATTATGTGCACATTACTTTATTATCTCTAAGTAATGGCATAGTTATTACCAAATCAATAGGCCTATAACTAACAATTTAAAAATTGCTCTGGCCCACAAAGGTTTTCCTTTGACTGGTTTCCAAACAAACTGATTTTTCCACATGTATGTTGCGTATTTGTATGGTCATGTTAAGGACATTGGCCAGCAATCTCTTTTGGATGCCAAGGCTTATGGTAAGGGCTTCATTGTAATCTTTAAAGTGAAAGTTCAGGAAAAACCTAACTAAAGCCGGCCATTGACAGTTCGAATCCCGGCCGGTTCAGCAGGAACCAACTGAGATGCGAACCATGTATGGGCAGGCTGAATGTACCCAAATTGATTGATCGATCAACTTGGGTACAACTAGCCTGACAGATTTTACATGCAATTATTGCTAGACGCTTGTATAGCCACTAGCAATAATTACTGCCTTTTCCTGGCAGGAATGGCTTCCCCGCCTCCAGAATACAATGGCACGGCAGGAGGGATTCCCCTGTCAACACTGTCTGTGTTGAAGGGGGAAGCGAGCAACTTCTTTCCTGCATCCCAAGGTTTAGGAGGGTGTCTATGGGAATGTTTGACCATTCTTCCAGAAGCGCATTTGTGAGGTCAGGCACTGATGTCGAACGAGAAGGCCTGGCTCGCAGTCTCCGCTCTAATTCATCCCAAAGGTGTTCTATCAGGTTGGGGTCAGGACTCTGTGCAGGCCACTCAAGTTCCCCCACCCAAACTCACTCATCCATGTCTTTATGGACCTTGCTTTGTGCACTGGTGTGGAGTCGGGGGGCCATCCCCAAACTGTTCCCACAAAGTTGGGAGCATGAAATTTTCCAAAATGTCTTGGTATGCTGACGCCTTAGGAGTTCAAACCCCTGAAAAACAACCGCACATCATAATCCCCCCTCCATCAAACTTTACACTTGGCACAATGGAGTCAGGAAAGTACTGGTCTCCTGGCAACCGCCAAACCCAGACACATCCATTGGATTGCCAGATTGAGAAGCGTGATTCCTCACTCCAGAGAAAACGTCTCCATTGCAGCATCCGACACTGTACTTGGTGATGTAAGGCTTGGATGCATTCTATGAAGCTCTCTACACACTGGTGTTGTGCTAATCTGAAGGCCACATGAAGTTTAGAGTCTTTAGCTATTGACTCTGCAGACAGTGACTTCTGCGCATTGTGCATTTCAGCATGCATTGGGTCCAATGTGTTATTTTACGTGGCCTACCACTTCATGGCTGAGTTGCTGTTGCTCCCAGTTGCTTCCACTTTGTTATAATATCACTAACAGTTGGCCGTGGAATATTTAGTAGCCAGGAAATTTCATGGATGGACTTATTGCACAGGTGGCAACCTATTATGATACCGCGCTTGAATTCACTGAGCTCCTGAGAGTGACCCATTCTTTCACAAATGTTTGTAGAAGCAGTCTGCATGCCTAGGTGCTTGATTGTATACACCTGTGGCCATAGAGGTGATTGGAACCTCTGAATCCAATGATTTGGAGGGCTGGCCCAATACTTTTGGCAACATAGTGTAGAATAGGTTTAGAATGAGGGTGGGAGTAGGTTTAGCCTTAGGCTACTTTCACACTGATCCGCTGCAAAAACACAGCAAAGACGCACAAGCATTTTTACCATGCTTTTGCTGCACTGAGTGTTTTTAAAGGACCCGACTTAAAAACTGCACCAAAAACACTTCTCAGAGGCGTTTTTGAGGCAGTGTTACTGGTTGCTATACCTAACAATGAAAAAGGTGGACTCACGTTGTGTAACATAGGCACCAAAAAGGATCCACATAGAGGCGATAAGTGATCCAAACATCATCATGAAGCCGATGAAGAGCCAGATTCGAGCTCCTGTGAGACAGAGATCATAGCATTACACATATATTAACAATATGTTACCCCAACATTTCATATTCCTGATATGTGCTTGTTGCACCGAGTACTTGTGTTAAAAACTGACCACACTAGGTATGACAGCACATCCATCCCAGAGTGGTAAGTTCTCTGGCTGTGCTGGAAGAACAGCCTGCTAGTCCTCCCCTCCTCTTATGCAGCTGAGAACAGAGATTATGTTGTGATCACATATATATATATATATATAAAAAAAAAAAAAGAACTGTATAATATATAATGAATATATATATACATACATCACATACACACAAATGTTTTGCTGTTCATTTCTATTGGAAACTGAATGGGTTGCGTAGTTACATAGTTTGTCTGGCTGAAAAAAGACAAAAGTCCATCCAGTTCAACCATAAAAAAAAAATTTTCCTACATCCAGAGTTGATCCAGAGGAAGGCAAAAAAAGACCCAGCAAAGCGTGATACAATTTGCTCCTACAGGGGAAAAAAATTCCTTTCTTTTCCTCCAGAAGGCAATCAGATATTCCCTGGATCAACTTTACCTATAAATGTTAGTATCCAGTTAGATTCTGTGTATCTAGGAAAGAATCCAGGACTTTTTTGAAGCAATCCACTGAGCTGGCCAGAACCAACTCTTGAGGGAATCTATTCCACATTTTCACAGCTCTCACTGTGAAGAAACCTTTCCGTGTTTTGAGATTAAATTTATTTTCCTCCAGAGTGCCCTCTTGTCCTCTGTGATGACCTCAGGGTAAATAGCTCTCCACCAAGTTCACTATATGGACCACTGATGTATTTATACATTGTGATCATTTCCCCCCTTAATCTCTTCTTCTCAAGAGAGAATAAATTCAGTTCCTCTAATCTTTCCTCATAGCTGATCTCCTCCATGCCTCTTATCAGTTTGGTTGCCCTTCTCTGTACTTTCTCCAGTTCCCCAATGTTCTTTTTGTGAATTGGTGCCCAAAACTGAACTGCATATTCCAGATGAGGTATTACTGATGATTTGTACCGGGGTAATATGATATCTCTCTCTCTGGAGTCTATACCTCTTTTAATACAAGAGAGATTTTGCTCGCTTTAGAAACCGCAGCTTGGCATTGCATGCCATTATTAAGCTTGTGATCTACCAGAACTCCCAGATCCTTCTCCACCATTGATTCCCCCAGTTGTACCCCCCCCTAGTATGTATGACGCATGCTTATTCTTAGCCTCCAAGTGCAGAACCTTACATTTATCAACATTAAACCTCATTTGCCCATAGTCCCCCAATTACACAGAGCATTGAGGTCGGCTTGTAAATTGGAGACATCCTGTAAGGACGTTATTCCACTGCCCAGCTTGGTGTCATCTGCAAAGACTGGAATGGGATTTATAATCCCAGACCCTATATTGTTTATAAATATATTAAAAAGTAAGGGTCCCAACACTGAACCTTGGGGTACACCACTGACAACCCTAGACCATTCAGAGTATGAATCATTAACCACTATTCTCTGAATATGATCTTTTAGCCAGTTTTCTATCCATTTACATACAGATTTTTCCAAGCCTGTAGACTTTACCTTACACATTAGCCATGTGTGGGGAACTGTGTCAAACAGTTTTGCAAAATCCAAGTATACCACGTCCACCGCCACCCCTCTGTCCAAGTATACCACGTCCACCGTCACTCCTCTGTCCAAGTATACCACATCCATCGCCACTCCTCTGTCCAAGTATACCACATCCACAGCCACCCCTCTGTCCAAGTATACCTCGTCCACAGCCACCCCTCTGTCCAAGTATACCTCGTTCACCACCACCCCTCTGTCCAAGTATACCACGTCCACAGCCACCCCTCTGTCCAAGTATACCTCGTCCACCACCACCCCTTTTTCCAAGTATACCACATCCACCGCCACCCCTTTGTCCAAGGTTTTGCTCACCTCCTTATAAAAAGAAATCAGATTTGTTTGACAACTTCTGTCTTTCATAAATCCATGCTGTCTGTTGCTTAACCCCTTGGTGCCGGCGCCTCCCGGCCCTTTAAGGGTTTCAGAAGCCGGGAGGCGGGGTGGGGTTTAGGGTCATGTGACCGCTGTGACACACCGTCACATAATCGGGAAAGGTCCCAATCAAAAGAGGAGATCGGGACATTTCCGTGAGTACGGACATGTGTGCTGAGAGCGCGCAGGGTGCGCGCTCTCAGCACATATGCTTTTCCTTAATTTTTTTCCAGCAAGAACTCATCTATGTGGTCTTTTATTAAACTCTCCAGAATCTTCCCAACTATAGATGTTAAACTAACAGGTAATTAAATTAATTATAATTATTAAATAATTATAATTAATTGGTAAATATTTTGACCCCTTTTTAAATATTGGCACCACATTGGCCTTACGCCAATCCACTGGTACTAAGCCAGTCATTAAAGAGTCCCCAAAAATTAGAAACAATGGCTTTGAAATGAGTATGCCATCTTGTCCAGGTACTTTACTCACCTATATTATGTCTAAATATTTTTGGATCATATCAATTGTGAGCCAATGTGGATCATCTGGAGCTGTGTCAATACCATGCCCATTATGGACAAGAGCTCCCCCATGCTCCTGTTTTACAAGGTGAGGGTTTACATATACTCAAACTGTTACACAGTGTACCTGGCACATAGAGGAGTCTAGGTCTAAATTAAAAATCAACAAGCTATGTAGGCTGCCATTGCCGATATCTCATCCAGAAAATCCTAGTTGTCGTGCAAATCCTACTTTCTGAGTTGCTGACCAGGGACATGTATGCAGAGAAGGAGCTTGGACTTCACTCTTACCTAAATTGCTGCATACTTAAAACAAAAAAAAAAAGTGAACAGGTAGGAATTTGAATGCAGAAGAAACATGCTTTGTCTGTTCTGAATTAAAGTTACTGACCTGCCTGTTCGCCCTTGTACAGTGCAGGCCGCACATGTACAGCTCACTGCACAAATTCGGCAATGCCAAATCTGACGGGAGTAACGTCATCCCCGCTTGGCCAATGACAAGATGTCAGCGGTCGGGCAGGATGCCGCATCGCTGGAGCAGAGGTGAGTATAGTTCCACTTTAAGGTACTGAAGCCAAAAACAGCCAGCTAGAATATTTAGATGAAGATCAATAATGGCAACCTATCAAAATGTAACTCCATTGGAGGAAACACAGGCAGGTGTTAAAAAAAGAACAGATGCAGCCAACAAAAAAAAAAAAAAAAGAAATATACAATTATATGATCATACTGTAAATATGTGCAAATATATAATAGTAAAACTTCTGCTGGCATGAACCCTAAATATGCAAATTAGCTACCAGGCAAACTCAACAATTGAAATAAAGAAATAAAGAACTGTCAGTTTGTGAGGCATGGTCGCTCTCTGAGAAGAAGAAGAAATAGATATGAATTCCAGCATCCCTGTTTCTCTATGACACATTTTACCTATTAGTGCTGTAGCTGTAGTTCTGAGCATGTCAACTGGGGAGGGGGGGGGGGGAATGAATTGGGGGGGGGGGGGGTATATTGCAGCCCACAGGACCAGTATCAGGGAAGGAAAAGCTCCAGGAAACATCCATAGCAATGCATTTCTCACATAAGTACATGTTTGTTTTGCTTTATATGTTAGCTCATAACTTCCTGATTTCTGCATCTGCTGCTCTGATATATTGTTCTGTGAACTACAGGACCCCACCCACCTACAAGTACATACATGAGTTCCCAGTAGTCCTGCCCGGTTTCTGCTTTACTTATACAGTACAGGTAAAAACGCATTGTAATCCTAGGACAGGGAGCGTGTTACTGGCAGGATCATCAGGTGAAAATAAAGGGAAAAATAAGCTTAAAAAAAAAAAAAAAACAAATGCAGCCAACAAATCTAAGAACTGTTAGGCTGGAATATATTACATTCTTTGGTTCAGACACACTTTAATCTACAAGCACCACATACATAAAAAATACTGACCTGCCCTTCCCAAGCATCCATCACTGTAGCTGTCTCCTCGTACCTGTGCATTGGACACTGCGTTTATCCTGCGGGGACAGACAATGTCAAACATGATATTCATATTAAGGACAGGTGGGTCTAGTAAGCACACATCGCTGTTACCTTAGGCATCAACATATTTCTTCTATGAATCAAAGACAGGTACATTAGCAGTAACCAAAACAGAACAAAATAAAGGGAGACTTTCAAATGAAGGATAAGATCTGGAATAAATACGGATCTGGCTAGTGGCTTTGGGCAACATTGGAGATTCTTAAAGCGGAACTCTGGCCTTACTTTCAGTTTTGTACTGTTGTACAGGTTCCTCTCGAGTACTGAAATTGCTTACTCTGATTTCACTGCACACTGTGAGCTTCTTGCAGTGTGCATTAAAAGCAGCAGGAAGTCAGATAATAAAGCCCCCTCCTCATTTCTTGGCTGGAGGACATCCAGTGTCGTTCTTTCCTCCCCAGGCTTACCTTCCTTGCCCACCCCTTTCTTTCATTGTACTTCAGTTCTTTCAATCATGGAAACTCTGCATCAACTGTGGGCATTACCTAGGGTGGTCTGTATGCAAATACCTGCCTATGAATTCCCATTTCTTAAAGCGGAGTTCCAGTCACCCTAAAAATAAATAAAAGTCAGCAGCTACAAAAACTGTATCTGCTGACTTTTAAAAACACAGCCATTTACCTGTCCCTCGGTCCCAGCGTTGTGTCCCCTGCAGCCCGTTTCACCCGGCCATCCTGTATTCCAGGAGGCCGGCATCTTCAGTATAGGCACCCGGCTGTGATAGCTTGCAGCTTCACAGCCAGGTACCCACTGCGCATGCGCGAGTAGCACTGCGCTTCATGAATGGTCCTGTAGTCTTCTGGGACCTGTCACGTGTCCCAAAAGACTACAGGGAGGGAGGACACCTTCCGCTTCCGAACGCCTAGGTGATCGGACCGGGAGTGGCAGCGGGTACCTGTCAAATTCGGGTACCTGCTCCCCCCCGCCCCCCAAAGGTGCCAATCCTTAATGGGCAGTGGGGGAGAAGTTCTTAAACCGGAACTTCCCCTTTTGGGTGGAGCTCCGCTGTAAGACATACATCCAGTCATCAAGGCATTTAGATATTTGCATAACTCCTCCCAAAAGCCAGCCCACTGCTTGCATCAGGACTGAGAGCGTTTAAGCGCAGTACTGTGGCAGAGTGCTGTGATGTTTTCAGGAAGCTATGTACAACACCCTGCTGCAATCACCCCCCCACTAGCCATTATCTAGCTGTACTGCATAAAGAATCACAGGGACACAGTGATGTCACTGGGGCTAAAATAAGACATGTAACGTTGCTGACTTTTGCCACAAACCTCCCAATGGTGGTGTCCTCAGTACATTAAAGTGTTACTAAACCCCGGACCCTGCATTCACTATATCTGGTCTCCCACAGTACACACAACATTGAAATGTAATTATTTTAGTGAATATAAACTGCTAAATACCTTTTCTCATCAGCAGTATATACAGTCTTGTGACTTCTATCAGTGTCCAGCTGAGCACTGGTTAAAGCTTGTAGGAGAAGTTTTCATTCTCCACTGACTGTCCTATGAGGCTTCATAAACCCTGTCCCTCTGTCTGGACAGTGCTGATTGGCCCTGTGCTGATCACATGCACTCTCCCAAGAATAAAAAAAAACTCTCTAGCAATACACACCAAACTGAGCATGTGCAGAGTGACTCCTAGAGCTCTGCACAATCAGCATATGCATTGGGGACAGTAGAAGAAGGGGAGGATCAAAGAAGACAGGATCAAACAGCCTTTTTACACAATGTTGAGGATTAACCCCTTATATTCCACCATGAGTATAGCATGCATGTTTTACTCCATATACAAACTGATTTTACTGTTGTGGGTTCAGTGACACTTTAACACGCACTGCTCCTTATTGTAAAGAATGTTTTGGGTTTTTTTTTTAGCTGCTCATTTCATTGCCCTCCTCTCTCCATCCTGTCATATGTAGGGCAGAGTGGGGACGACACTGGAATTAGCTGCTGAAAAAGCATTATTTTACAAAATGGAGCACTGCGTGTTAATGTACTGAGGACACCATCATACTTAGGGAGGTTTGTGGCAAAAGTCAGTAAAGGTAAACAAACCCTTTAAATCTTGCTGTGCTTTGTGTATTTCTTTCAGATCTTTGTAGTTATCTAATGTGAAACTTGTCTGTGCAGGAGCTTCCTGTAATAAAGACCGGTCACTGCCGCTATCTCTACCTGTGCAGGGTGACTGGTCTTGTCTCCGCCTCCTTCCTCCTTCTGCATGTAGCCTGTAGTGGGTGGAGCTTGCTGGGTCCATCCCACAGCTCTGGTCTCTGCACAACCTATGCTCAGCAAGTGATTACTGTTGCTTTTACAAGCTAATGACTGAGTTTGCAGAGGAATTTGGTAAACAAAGATTTATATCTTATGTGCCTATGGAAGAATATATCCAGTTTTTTGTCTGGAGTTCAGCTTTGAAGGAGACTTGAATCATGGGAACAAAGCTGTCTTACAGTTTTTGATTCAGACTTGTTCACACTGAGGAGGTGTGGCTACACTCAGGTCTTATTCTTTTTTTTATTTTTTATAAATTCTTCATAAGCAGCTGACTTCTAGAATCCTGAGGACTCCATATACAGCAATTGTTTGTTTTACAGAAGGGGCTAATGTTTTTCTGAATCTGCACCATGGCTATGTTATGGAGTCATCTTAGCTGCAAATGGCACTTAGGGCGCGTTCACACTTGACTTTTTCTAACTCTTGCCAATTGCCCCTATAGCGTTTGACAGGCATTAGACAGGCGTTTGGGAAGCGTTTTTAAAGCTCTTCAAACGCTCCCCAAACGCCCCCAAACGCCCCATGCACGGCTTTGAGGTGGTTGATAGGCGTTTGCCAAGCGTTAAAACAGCACTACAAATGCCTATAATGAAGCTAAATGGTATTAACGCTCCACAACCGAAGCGGCACCATAGACTTGAATGGGAGGCTTCAACTCCTCCTGACTGGACACGAGGTGTCAGTTTTGCCGCGATGCTAACGCTTCAGTGTGAACAGCACTGTGTGCTGCCATGTGCAGAATTTTCATAGGTGTTTGAGAAGCGTTAAAAACGCTTCCCAAACGCCTGTCTGACACCTGCTGACAAAGCTAGTGTGAACTGAGCCTAACAAGAATGTTTTAATTAACCTCCTCTGCCCCTTTAATTGGGCTTTAACGCCCAGAAGGTGTGGCTTCAGCATCACGTGACTGCTGTGAGCCGCCTTCACGGTGGTTGCATGAATGAGAGCCCATACCGCTGGTTCCTGATCAGAATCCTTGACCGTGAGCACTCGATGACAGCTTGGTTACTGTGCTGGGAGCAGACTGTGAACACGCTTTCAGCACACAACCTGCTGCTGCCATGAAAACATATATGCAGCGGCTGGGCATTAAAACCCACCTGTCTAAGCACTGCCTGTATGCAGGGGCGTATTTACCACAAGGCAAACAAGGCATTTGCCTAGGGCGCCATTTTTTCAGGGGGGCAGCAGCGTTTTTCAGGGGGGCAGCACTGCCCCCCAAAATAAGGGATGGAGGTAAAGACACATGCAGTATGGGGACCAGGAGGGATCTGCGAGAGGCTGCGGGCTGCTTGATGGTGTATGCAGAGCCTGACTGTTGTTCCCGGGGATGTACAGAGCTGTAAAGGTGAGTGTCTTCTCTCTCACCGGGGTGGGGTTGCCAGTGTATGGGGGGTGGTGGTAGTGGAAGGCTCTCTTCGGTGGGGTGGGATGGGGGGGTGTTGTTGGTCAATGTCAGGCTCTTATTGTAGGGGAGGGGGGAGCAGATTTTTGTGTTGCCTAGGGCAGCATGAAACCTAAATACACCACTGCCTGTATGCATTACATAGTTGGCAGGAGGTTAAAACATATTATATGATGTGTAATATATATTTATATATATCATTTTTAATCTGTGTTATCTACTATATGTACCTGCCCACACACCACCACAACTCTTGCTGGAATGATTTTGTTAACCGATGACCTTGAATTTCCTGTACAAAACATGTGACATTGTGGACTTTAACAATGTAACTGTGATATCTTTCTATTGACAGGTTGGCCTGTTCTGCAAACAATCCTTGGAATGCAGCAGAGCTGCTAATAGTCCCTAATCATTCTAGCTATTTAAAGGAGCTTTCAGTTTTCTTTTAAAGCAGTCTTTTAATACATTGTCTATAGGTGCGCATGCAGCACATCTCTTTACAGAACACAGCCCTGGTGAGAGCATCTGGTGACACAGCATTCCACGTAACTTAAAGTGGGCCTTGCTTATACTGTCAGGCCCTTCCCCCCTGTAAAATCGCCTGGTCAAATTTCTTCAAAACCTGAACTGCTTTCCTAATCTATGAACTTGATCCATGAATGGAGAGGGATTGGACGTATCATTCATACACCCCTCCTCCATTCATAGATCGCTTTCTATTTATATAAGTTGTAGTACAGCTTCTATGAATGGAGGAGCTGCGTGAAAAGGGTGGACATAGTAGTGACAACCCCTTAGTTGTAGTAATCTGGTGTGGCGAGGGGATGGGGGGGGGGGGGGGCGCATGGACGAAGGAATATTTCATTTAAAATGAAGAGGCATCAGCACAAGGGACACATCCTACTAACTGTAAGTTACACTCACCGGCCACTTTATTAGGTACACCTGTTCAATTGCTTGGTAACACAAGTCGCTAATCAGCAAATCACATGGCAGCAACTAAATTCATTTAGGCATCTAGACATGGTGAAGACGACTTACTGAAGTTTAAACCGAAAACGGGGATGAAAGAGGATTTAAGTGACTTTGAACGTGGCATAGTTGTTGGTGCCAGACGGGCTGGTCTGAGTATTTAAAAAACTGCTGATCTACTGGGATTTTTATGCACAACCATCTCTAGGGTTTACAGAGTAATAGCCCGAAAGAGAAGAAATATCCAGTGAGTAGCAGCTGTGTGGACAAAAATGCCTTGTTGATGTCAGAGATCAGAGGAGAATGGGCAGACTGGTTGCTCCAACATTCAGATGGAAGGGTCAGAATTTGGCATGAACAACATGAAAGCATGGATCCATCCTGCCTTGTATCAATGATTCAGGCTGGTGGTGGTGGTGTAATGGTGTAGGGGAGATTTTCTTGGTACTAGCAAGGTGTACCTAATAAAGTGGCCGGTGAGAGTATGTCCCTTGTGCTTTTCTGGGTTTTTTTTTTATTTATGCTGCACTTGAAGTGAAATGAAAAATAACTTATTTTATTTTTTACCAACCAGCAGTTTCTTTATTGCAGAGGAGACAGGCAATGTCTCTTCCTCAATAAAATACATTTACCTGCTTGTTTGCTGCTGTCAGCTCTGAGGAAGGGAGCTGGACTCCCGAAACGCGTTAGTTTCCCACCAGATGGCTCCGAGATGGGACGGGCCTTTTAAGGCTGTATGTTTCATATATGCCTGCTGTTTTCATGCGTTTGTGAATATGTTTATTTCTTTTGGCATTTGATTACATTTTATGAAAGTAATGCATGAGGAGTCTGTGCCCTTTGTATGTGTTTTTACACCCCCCCCCCCCTTATACATACCTGAGCCCCTTCTCGATCCAGCGATGTGTATGAGAGCAGCGGCTCTCCCATGTCTCTGTCTTCTCATTGGCACAGCAGAAAAAAAAAGAATAAATACACTATTTTTTCCAGGAAAAATATGTGCATGTATTATTTTTTATAAAAAGGTGAACTTATCTTTTAACCTCCCTAGCGGTCTGATTATGTCTGCAGTATTTCTGTGCTCAAAGCGGTACATTTTTTTGCATGGAAATATGTAGTTTTTTTATTGTAGGCCTGCAATTTTTAGGAATAACTCACTGAAATCTGTCAGAACAAGAGTCTAGTAAACATCCCGGGTATGTTAAAATTTGAAACACGAAATCATAAATTATAATTTAATAAATAACCATAAAAAATAATAATATAATATTCAATTTAATTCAATAATATAATCAAACCAAAAACATTGAAATTTGAAATATAGCGCCAAGTTCGCACATCACTGAGCAAAGTCGCAAAATCTTTTCAGTGTCTGATGATGAATTTCCCCCACGAATCATTATCACTCAATTCTGCAAGTGATTCTAATTTACTATCGCTGTTCTCTAGCTGGTCTAGAGTCTTTTGACCTAAAGGGACGCTTTTTGGACGCCATGGACGTTTCTCAGTTTCCAAGCAGAAAGAACAGTAAAAATGCAGGCAGGGCGCAGGACAAAGCACTCGGGACAAAATGTATGTGAAATGCTTTGATACAGTAATGTTATACTATGTAATTTTAGTGTATTTAGTGAATGTCACTTTTTCACATTTTTAAATTTCCCGCCAGATCCGTCCCCCGTACATCCTGACATCACAGGGAACGGAACCCGGAAGACAGATGCCGGCATCGGCCAGAGGACATTGCCGGGGACACTGCAGGAGGGACATCGCGGGAGTGCAGGACAAGGTAAGAGAAGAAAAGATCCCGGAGCAACGCTGCAGGGTATTCCCAAGTGTAGCTGGGGGTAACCGCTTGTGGTGCTGAAACTTTACCCCGAGCTACACTCAGGAATACCGCCAGGGAGGTTAAACATCCCTAATTATAAAGGCATTGAGATTTTTTTTTTTCAGCTGTAAAAGCACCTCTATGTATGTCTATGTGGCCATGCAGACATAGGCATTTACAGGTGTATTAGAAGGGAAGCGTTTACAGACTGAAAAAAAGAAAAAAAACCCATCACCAGCAGATTCAGGAGAAGAGCTTAGGAGTAGAACAAAAGTCTACACACATCTAAACACTACATGCAAAAAGTGTATGTGCATTTATGCATTCCAATGGCCAGAATAAATAAATATTCTAGCCAATAGAATGCATTAACGTTCAAATGCTAGACGCACCTAAATGCATGTGCAATACATGGCTTTTACCGCACTTTAAGCAGCATTTTTCTGCCAAGAGTTCTGGTACTTAGAGAGGTTAACAGATGCCCTGCGTGCGTGAGGCCTGTCAGTGACAGCTTCCCGGCAGGATAGCTCAGATGAGTGTAGATTATGATCCGAACACGACTGAGCTCATCCCTAGGAACATTAGTTCACATGAGCAGACTGTGGAACATCACAGGGCACATCCTGATCTTGCATGGCTCCATGCTGGGATTCCAGCTTTCATCTGTCTAGTACAATCAGAAAGAATAAATGTTGACTGTCTGTTCTGGGTTCCTGAGACTTTACCGTATGAAATGCAGGCTGAGAATGGTGAACAGCATTCTGCAGAAAATCAACTTACATAAAAAACGCCACTGTAGAGAATACACCACAGGTGTGAAAAGCGTGGTTCAAGACATCCTGTGTGGGGTACACCACTGCTGCATCTATCATGATCCACCAGCCTGAAAAAAACTGAAACAAAATATATTTAGGTAAAATCCAAAAAAACAAAATATATTATTTAGGTAAAATCCAAAAAATCTAAAATCCAAATAGTAAAATATTTAGGTAAAATCCAAGGCATTTATCATTAAGACTTTTTGCCAGAGGGAAACAAACAAAAAATAACTGCTGGCAAGCTTGCATGTCATGCTAGTGTTGAAGTAGAGCAGGCGCAGTAAAGATGGAGCTCATCCACGCTCGCTTCAGTGCACCCACTTTTATTTTAACAACTTAATATATGAAAATGAAAAGTGGATTTAAAGTCATCAGTGCTTTCAAGATTTAACAGAAATGATATTTTGACCAAAATTATGAAGTCTGCAATCACAACAAAAGTAGACTGTTTTGAGCAGGACCCTACACTAATACTAACTGCACTACCTTTTCAAGGAGACAAACCAATCCAGCAAAGAGACATCCCAGTATATTCAGCAAAGAGATATCCCCAAATATTCATTCATTCAGTGACTCCTCATCACTGGACCCCTCACCTGTGGAGCAGCCGTGCACCCCAAGCGTGTACACCAGGGTTTTTGGAATTAAAAAGTTCCTTTCACAGCCCCCTTGCTTGCACCCCATCCCCTTCACCCCCCCCTTCCTTGCACTTTAGCCCCCTTTGCAGCCGCCCTTGCTTGCACCCCAGTCCCCTTCACAGCCCCACTGCTTGCACTCCAGTTCCCTTCACAGCCCCCCTTCCTTGCACTCCAGCCCCCTTCACAGCCGCCCTTGCACCCCAGACCCCTTCACAGCCCCCCTTCTTTGCACCCCAGTTTCCTTTACAGCCTCCCTTCTTTGCACCCCAGTTTCCTTCATAGCCCCCCTTACTTGCACCCCAGTTTCCTTCACAGCCCCCCTTCTTTGCACCCCAGTTTCCTTCACAGACCCCCTTACTTGCACCCCAGTTTCCTTCACAGCCCCCTTCCTTGCACCCCAGTCTCCTACACAGACCCTTTTCCTTGCAACCCAGTCCTCTAACCTTACTAATTCTACCTTACACAGTGGGTAGAAATTAGTAGGCAGAAGGAACGGTATGTCCGGACAGAGGGCGAGAGCTAGCCAACTTTCCATGGTGGTGATTAGTTGCCAGGACCTCCCCGCAACCAATCGCCTGCCTACTAACTTGAAAAGCTCAGCAGCTCCCACTCTCTGTCTGGACATCCTTCTACCTACTACCATCCACACACTGTGTAAGGATGAAGGCGGAGGTGGTGGTGGCAGCGGCGGCAGCAGAGGTGGGGGCAGTGGAGGAGGAGGATACCATCCAGGCTGCTAAGTGATGGAGCCACGGTCCACATAGGATTGTCATTCATGTCATTGACTGCGGTAGGCCAATCAGGGCAGCCATCAGAAAATTTCCATCGGATTAGCAGTGAAGTCCAATACAGGAGCCTTTCATGGGGCCCCCGGGCAGTGCCGGAATGTCAGCCCACCCCTGGGCCCGGGCCCCCTACATTAGTATGGGCTGTCCCCCTCTGATGGCAGCCCTGCTCCCCATAGAAGGCCCAATCTCAAAAACATTTTCATAAAACTTAATTAATCTGATGTGCACACTGGAAGCACCAAATGGGACCTCCTGACTCTGATGCATTTCGCTCTTAACTGCAGAGATGACATGTCAGAGGCAGGAAGTCCCAGGTGGTACTTCCAGTGTACACATCCAGAACAATGTTTTATAAAAATGCTGAAATCAGTGTGGCCAATTTGTGGCAATAAGACATTTTTTGGCAGTTAAGGTTTCTTTTTTTTGCATATGTGGCACCAAGCACAGCAATTTAAAGCAAACATATGCCCACCTCCAGGACTTCTCCAGAACCTCTCTCATCCTCTGGGAACTCTCTATCCTTATCTGTTTGGTCATCTCCTACCCTGTCTGTCTTTAGGCATTCCCTGAAATTTCCCTTATTCAGGAAAGCTTATCCCGTCTTCACCTAAAAACTGTACTTCAACTACCTCCATCTGCCCACCCCCCAACCTTTTGTACCACCTCCTTTGTAGATTGTAAGCTCCATGAACAGGACCCTCCTAATTCTTCTGTACTGAACTGTACTGAAACTGTACTGTTTCCCTTTATATTATAAAGTGCTGTGCAAACTGTTGCATTATGTAAATTCTGTATAATACTTTTTTTGCACAACAGTTATATCAAAACAATTTCAGTTGTATATTTAAAAGAACAAAAGGAAGCAAATATTAAATAGTTGTTTTTAGGTTTAGATACCTTTAATCCCTTTATGACCCACATATGTGCAGTGGCAAAAGAACGAGATTAAACGATCACACACCTCACATATACATCATCTGCCCAGTGCTGCATATGTGTTGACAGCTCACTCATTGTGTGCTCTAAGCACAAAGACCAAGTTGTCGCAGACCGCTCTTGGTCCAGGCTACAGACTGGTAGCTGGAAGGACCAGTTTCCGATCATGTGACCACTGTGACAGTGGTCATATGATCGCCAGTTCTTCTGGCCCGCTGGGTATTCTGAACTGCCAGGGTGGATGGGAAGGGGTTAAAGGACATCTGTGCCTTTAGAACATCTATTTCTAAGCTAACCTACACTATCTCTCCTCAGCTGCTTACTTACCTTAGCCAACTTCGGTGTTTAAACCCGTATGGCAAAAATCTCTTTGGCATTGGGTCTCTATTGACTTGAATGGGATAATACAATGAAAAGCTCCAGTCTATATATACAGCCATACTCAAGTCAATAGGGACCTAAGGCACAGACATGGGTAGCAGAGAAGAAAACTTCTTAAGGGGGCTCTCAACACCACTGTAGAATTAAAGTGGTTGTAATTCCTTACCTATACACAGAGAAGTGGCTGGCCTCAGGTGATACACAGGGATGAAACAAATCCTCTCACATAAGTTGTACTTGTCTATATGCAGTCTTTTCTTCTCTACAACCATGCTGAATTCATAAAGTTTGTCTGAGAGTTCAGAAAAAAGGAGGCGGAAAGCTGAAATCACACACTGCAGAGTACAGAGAGCTGATTGGAGAGAAGAGACACACCCCACTCCACACAGCACAGGAACAGAGCTGTGGCTGTCAATCAGATGGAGGTTCCTCCCTGTCACCATTTTTCTCTTGGTGTCAGGAAAACTTGTCAGAAGTAACTCACACAGACAGCAGAGAAATGAGGGAGCAGGCAGAAATGACACTTAGTGCTCTTAATTGAGGCAAGCATACAGTATAGAGGGATATGCTTTGTTCAGATTTCATGTCTGAGGTTTACAACCACTTTAAGGTAAGTACGCAGCTGGTGGTTGAGGGGAGGGATGAGTTTAGGTTATAAAGTTCTACCTGTCATTTCTTTGCCCCCCAGACCATGTACTAGTTTGGAGCTGTAAATTAACTACAGTTGTGTTCAAAATAATAGCAGTCAGACATCACTAACCTGATCAATCACTGTTTTTGGTAGAAATGATATTTCTACACGGCAAATAATTTACTAGCAGGTGTAGTAGAGTAATAGAAATCCAACAGACCCAACAGTCATGACATGCATGCTGCTGATTCTGTGTAATTGAGTCACTAATTGAAAGGGGCATGTTCAAAATAATAGCAGTGTGGAGTTCTATTAGTGAGGTCATTCATTATCTTGTGAAAAATAGGTGGCAATTGTTGCCCTTATTTAAGGAAGGAAGGCAGCAAATGTTGTACATGCTGGTTACAGTACATTTCTCTCTGAAATTCTGAGGAAAATGGGTCGTTCCAGACATTGTTCAGAAGAACAGCGTACCTTGATTAAAAAGTTGATTGGAGAGGGGAAAACATATAAAGAAGTGCAGAAAATGATCGGCTGCTCAGCTAAAATGATCGCAAATGCTTTACAAGATTGACGTTATGGAGTGGCCAGCCCAATCCCCGGATCTTAATCCAATAGAAAACTTGTGGGGTGACATCAAAAATGCAGTTTCTCAGGCAAAACCAAGAAATAGAGAAGAACTGTGGAATGTAGTCCAATCATCCTGGGCTGGAATACCTGTTCACAGGTGCCAGAAGTTGGGTGACTCCATGCAACACAGATGTACAGCAGTTCTCAGAAACAGTGATTATACAACTAAATATTCATTAAGTGATTCAAAGGAAAGCAAAATCTTCAAACATTTTCCAGTTTATATAGTGAATGTTTGAGTTTGTAAAGAAGAATACAAACTGCAATTTTTTTGAACAGTCTAATATTCAGTTTTCTTCAATTGTTTTAGAGGAACAACACAAATTTGATATATTTTTCTTCATGTTTTGATTTGGAATAGAATGTGTAGTGTTCCCAATGCATTTGTGTGGATGGAAATAAAAGCTATTAGAAGGATTTTAAACTTTATTCACTTTTTTCAACACACTGCTATTATTTTGAACACAACTGTATGTTGCTAGCTGCAGCCCAAAAGACAAGAGAACAGCAGCTTTCATCAGTTGTTTCTCATGGAGGTATTTTTCCCAGCTGAAGATTCCCTTTAAGAGAGGTATTTTCATTCATTGAAACATTATTAAATCCCTTTCATTTTTCTAAAGAGAAAACAGCAGAACCATCTGTGCCCAGAAAAGACATTCGTAACAGGAAACACCACAAAGTGAATTACAAATGCATTGGACGTTCTGTAAAAGAACTGGCTTGGCTTGATTTTTGAATTTTGGCAGTTGCAGGTACATTAGTCATTCACACAAAGAAAGAATTTATACCTTCGGTAGGAAAGTAAAAGTGGTTGGAGTTCCTGAGAAAGATTGCAACTTTCTAATTGAAAATCCTCTTTAACGTCAACCTGCCCTTTGCTCATGTAGAGTCACGCAGCAGGTTCACACAACTGCCAACTTACCCAGCTGCATATACTCACCTTCCTCTCACTCCCCCAACACTTCTTTAACTGTCTAGAGCAGCCTTTCTCAACCAGGGTGCCTAGGCATCCTGGGGTGCCTTGAGGTTTCTTCAGGGGTGCCTTGTCAAAATGTCTAAAAACTGTCCAAAACTTGTATACAAGCCAGTGGGTGGATCAAGCCTGCCTTTTAGTTACACAAAGTCACAGGTTTTCATTGTGCACCATTACAACCTTCTAGCCACCGGCGTCCTGACAACCAATGACATCATCAGTTGATAAAGAGGATGTCAGCTGCCTGCACAGCATCCTAGTTTTACCCTCCTCTGGCTCTCTCCATCAGTGCTGGGGCCACATTAGCTCATTGATGGAGAAAAACTGAGGGAGAAGAGAAACATTGGAATACTAGTCAGTACCAGTGTGAAAAAGTGTATTTGCTTTGGAAGAATAAATCACCTCTAACGTTGGGTGTCCTACATGTGTGGATGTTGCTGGATTGTATAAAACTATTAGAATAGTTTTTCACATTTTAGAATGGGGTGCCTCAAGACTCTCCATAACTTTTAAGGGTGCCTCAAGACTGTCCATAATTTTTAAGGGTGCCTTGACTGAAAGAAGGTTGAGAAACACTGCTCTAGAGGCTCGGTGCCCAACCTGTGGCCCTTTAATAAGTGGAAGCATTGATTTGCAAAAGGACTGCAATGGCAGCGATCTTTATCAGTCTCTTGTAACATATTCCCAAGATTGCCTTAAATCTTTTCATTAGCCAACAGACAGTAGCCAGCTGGGCCACACAGCATCACCGGTTGTTACAGTGTGAGCAGCCGCCTGTACCATAAAGAGCTATGGCTCTGTGCCTCCTAGCCACCAAGGACACTGTGCAACCCAGATATCAGTGTCCTAGCAACCAATGAAAAGACAGAGGGGATGGAACAGGGGAACCAGCACCCTCTCTCCCACTTGCATAGTGACAGCGCATGTCTTGGGCAAGCGCATGGAGCCAAAGACAAATTCCGTCAATCAAGACTATTTATTTCTTTGTCTCCCTGCTAACTGCATTTGTGGAAAGTGGTGGGAGTAGAGGGGCACTGGGAGTAACGGGACACGCTGATGACCACATTAGCTCAACTTGGAGACAATATAGAAAGACATGCATACTGCACTTTGTTCCCAGGGGGTCAGGAGCAACCAAAATAAAAGCAAGAATTCTTTTTTTTTTAGCCCTGCATACTTGGCCCCAGACTTTAACTCTCTAGGAAGGGATTCCAGTATCAGGATGACATCCCTGGTGCCTTGACTGGATTCTCTCCTTTCCAAAGGACAGTACAAAAACAGAGAGCGCCCCCTTATGCACAGTAACTGCTTTCAGGGCTGGGACATGTAAAGAAAATGCATCACTTACCAAAACACCAGCTACGACAGAGGCTATGGTGTTCCTCTTCTCCCCCCAGTCAATGCATTCGCACTGCGGCCATCGGAAATTATCCAGGAAGCCAGCCATTTTCACCAGAGGATTGTCAGTGGCTCGTTCATTAACTGTGTAAGTAAAACAAATTGTCAGCCAAGAGGGATACACCAGAATAAAGCAGAACAAAGCGCCAAACAGTCACTACAAGGAACAGATGAGCACTACAATTGATAAAATGGATCATGTACAGAATAAAGTGTTATCTGAACACTAGAGCTTTCCATTGGTGTACTATTTAGTAATAATAAAATAATAATATAATATAAAATATAAAACATAAATATTATAAAATATACCCGTAAGTTACAGGATATTTCCTAATAAATGTTGTTGGTGATATACACTGCACAAAAAACAAATTAAAGGAACACTTTTTAATTGGAGTCTAGCATCAAGTCAATTAACTCCTGGGATATTGATCTGGTCAGTGAAGTAGCAGAGGAGGTTGTTAATCAGTTTCAGCTGCTTTGGTGTTAATGAAATTAACAACAGGTGCACTAGATGGGAAACAATCAGACAACCCCCAAAACAGGAATGGTTTCACAAGTGGAGGCCACTGACATTTTTTCCCTACTCATCTTTCCTGACTGTTTTTCACTAGTTTTGCATTTGGCTAGGGTCAGTGTCACTATTGGTAGCATGAGGTGATACCTGGACCCTACAGAGGTTACACAGGCAGTCCAACTCCTCCAGGATGGCATATCAATAGGTGCCATTGCCAGAAGGTTTACCTTGTCTCCCAGCACAGTCTCAAGAGCATGGAGGAGATTCCTGGAGACAGGCAGTTACTCTAGGAGAGCTGGACAGGGCCATAGAAGGTCCTTAACCCAACAGCAGGACCGGTATCTGCTCCTTTGTACAAGGAGGAACAGGATGAGCTCTATCCAAAGAACAGAGGTATACTGCTCAGGCAAACAATCCAGATCAATTCATGACAGGTGCAGGCTCTGGCTCGCCACCACACAATGCAACAGGAAGAAGTGTTAACCGCACACCGGAGGAATGATGGATATAGTGTATGTTTATTGATCCATAGGACACACAAAACACCAGAACATGAATACAAGACTTTTCAATGAGTTTCACACGATCTCATACTTAACCGCTAGCCTACAGGGCACTTATACCCCCTTCCTGTCCAGGCCAATTTCCAGCTTTCAGCGCTATCACACCTTGAATGGCAATTGCGCGGTCATGCAACACTGTACCCATATGAAATTTTTATCATTTTTTTGAGACAGATAGAGCTTTCTTTTGGTGGTATTTAATCACCTTTGGGATTTTTATTTTTTCTTAAACAAACCAAAAACCACTGAAAATTTTGAACAAAAAAAATGTTTTTTTTCTTAGTTTTTGTTATACAATTTTGTAAATAAGTGATTTTTCTCCTTCACTGATGTGCGCTAATGAGGCTACAGTGATGGGCACTGATGGGCACTGAGGCGTCACTGGTAGGTTGCACTGATGGGCATTGACAGGCATCACTGATGGGCACTGAAAGGCAGCACTGATACATGACACTGATATATGGCACTGTTAGGCGGCACTGACTGGCACTGTTAGGCGGCACTGACTGGCAGCACTGATAGGTGGCACTGATTGGCATTGATAGGTGGCACTGACTGGCACTGATGGGTGACATTGAAAGGCAGCTCAGATGGGCACTGATATGTGGCATTTATGTGCACTGGTATGCACTGATATGTGGCATTGATGTGGCACTGATGGGCACTGACACGTGGCACTGATGAGCACTGACTGCTGGCACTGATGGACACTGACAGGTGGCACTTCTGGGGCCACACTGATCATCAGGGCATACTGGTCATCAGTGCCCTGATGATCAGTGTACATGTCCCCTCCGCGGAAAGCCGATTACTGGCTCTCCTCACGAGCTGTCAGCGTGACAGGACCTGTATTCATGTCCTGGTGTTTTGTGTGTCCTATGGATCAATAAACATACACTATATTCATCATTACTCCGGTGTGCGGCTGACACTTCTTCCTGTAACAGGATGAGCTCTGCCAGAGCCCTACAAAATGACCTCCAGCAGGCCACTGGTGTGAATGTCTCTGACCAAACAATCAGAAACAGACATCATGAGGGTGGCCTGAGGTCCTCTAGTGGGCCCTGTGCTCACTGCCTGGCACCATAGAGCTTGGCTGGCATTTGCCATTGAACCCCAGAATTGGCAGGTCCACCACTGGCGCCCTGTGCTTTTCACAGATGAGAGCAGGTTCACCCTGAGCACATGTGACAGACATGAAAGGGTCTGGAGAAGTCAGGGAGAACATTATGCTGTCTGTAACATCGTTCAGCATGACAGTTTTGGTGGTGGGTCAGTGATGGTCTGGGGAGGCCTATCCATGGAAGGACGCACAGACCTCTACAGGCTAGACAATGGCACCCTGACTGCCATTAGGTATTGTGATGAAATCCTTGGACCCATTGTCAGAGCCTACACTGGTGCAGTGGATCCTGGGTTCCTTCTGGTGCACGACAATGCCCGGCCTCATGTGGTGAGAGTATGCAGGCAGTTCCTGGAGGATGAAGGAATTGATACCATTGAATGGCCCCCACGTTAGCCTGACCTAAATCCGATAGAACACCTCTGTGATAGCATGTTTCGGTCCATCCGATGCCGCCAGGTTGCTCCTCAGACTGTCCAGGAGCTCAGTGATGCCCTGGTCCAGATCTGGGAGGAAATACCCCAGGACACTATCCATCGTCTCATTAGGAGCATGCCCCCACATTGTCAGGCATACATACAAGCATGTGGGGGCCATACAAACTACTGAGGACCATTCTGAGTTGCTACAATGAAATTTCAGTAAAATAGACTAGCCTGCTGCATCATTTTTTCACTTTGATTTTCGGGGTCTCTTTGAATTCAGTCCTCTGTAGGTTGATCATTTTAATTTCCATCAAACAATGGGGTATCCTTACGTTCCTAACACATTACCCCGTCCATATCAGTATAGATACCCAGCATGAGATTTTTCCTCATTGAGATCTGATGTGTTTTGTAAGGGCTTCTTTTATTTTTTTTGTGCAGTGTAAATAGTTAATACTTCTTTCACATTTTCTGCGGTAAGGTAACAGAGTGCTACTAAGCTGTGCAACTCCATCATCCCAACTCCCCTCTAAATGACATCCCTGCTTCTTTGTGTCTCTGCTACCTCCACCATAAGGCTTATATAACAGGCATGTCTAGAACCCAGGGCAAGGATGCAGAATATGCGCCCCCTCCCCAATTGCTAATGCATGACATGGGTATATCACTCTGTGCCCATTCTCTGCTCTCTTGTTCTGGGTGCCCATGGCTGGCATGGCGTGAGCATTACACACGCATAGTCAATTGATTGCTTTCTAGCAGCTAGAACGTAGTTGCACATGCACAGGGAGTCTTTTGTGTCAGCCATGGGCAGATTGGGTGGAGAGTAGGCATGTTGGAGTACAGCGTGACAGCAGTAGCTGGAAGAGTAGACATGACACCATGGTCCACTGGTTGCCAACCACTGGCCTGCATGGTATGATAAATGGGGCACCCCCTTCCCTTATCAGAGAGCCCTGGGCGGCTTCTCCTCCTGCCCACCCCTTGGTTTCAGGGATCATTTAAAGATGGATATTTGGACAGATTGGGGTAGGGAGTATCATAGGATGGGAGAAGCTCTGGAAAAGTCCTGGAGGTGAGCATGGAAGAAGGTGACAAGGGCTCCGTGCCAATCACATGCGCTCTCCAAAGACAAACAAAACTCTCTAGCCAAACACACCAAACTGAGCATGTGCAGCTTGCCCCCAAGGCTCTGTTCTATCAGCCGATGGATTGGGGACAGTAGAAGAAGGGGAGGGTCAGGGAAGACAGGATCAAACAGCCTTTTTACACAACCCCTTAGGTTCCGCAGTGAGTATAACAAGCATTATTTACTACATATACAGACTAAGTTTACTGCTGTGGGCTTAGTAACACTTTAATGTTATTTAAAAACTGGATTTCAATCAACAGCTTTAAAAACAAAAAATACCTGGTGATCCTACCATGAAAGTCCTTCTTTGGGCACTTCCTGTTCTGGGGGTGACAACCATATCCCAACTGTACGTCTGTGTTGTCACCCTGGCCCGTGCCCTCCAGGTGGGGACTACAAGTGCAGACACATGTCATGGCCCACCGTTGTCACCACCAGGGAGCCAATCCGGACCAAGACATGGACTGGGAGACAGGAAGTGGCTGAAAGAAGCTGGAGGAGATCAGCAGTGACATTTCAATGGATAAAAGTGAATTTGATTTTGGGGAAGTGACCTGTGAGCTGTCATACAGTTAGTGCCATTCAGATCTACTTCCCCTGAACAGATACAATGTTACAGATTGGAATGAAGGATATGTATACATATTACATACATCACATCAGCAGCCAGCCCACCCCACTCTGCACCCAGCCAGGCATGCTGACACTTCTAGTTCCCCTCCAGGTCACATGACCCTGGCCTGGCAGGGAACACACAGGACATGGGGTATCAGGGTGCCCAGCAACACTCAGGCCACGCCCAGTCCTGAACGAGTCCCTCACTTACCCTCTGCAGTTCGCTTTGGCAGAATTTCTCCAATACAATCCCATACGTCACGGCGTCCGGGGGCGTGTTCCTCCTCCTCCAATCGCCCGCTGCGCACCGCCCAATCAGGAGAACATCGGCGGCCATATTGTGGATGGCAACGTGCCAGCCACCGGAAGAAGCACTGCTCCTTTTTTTTTGTTTCAACAAAACTTTATTAACCAAAGACGTGGTATTCGGTTTTAGTGTATGTGACATATTTCCTGTCTGACTATTCTCGATGAGAGCTGACAGTCTTTTATAGTTACATTTTAGCTGACAGTTTCATCAGTGGGGACAGAGAAAAAGATGTTTGGAAGGAACTTCCCCTCAGAGTTGATTTTGTGCACATGGAAAGGGTTAGAATGCTTGTTTTAGGCCAAAGTTTACAGAAAACCCCCAAAACATTGTATTTTTTTCTGAAGGCAGGAACCCCGGAGAATAAAATGATGGCAGTTTTTTTTTCCTGTCACACAATATTAGTGCAAACGTTTAAAGTGCAAACTTTCAGTAAAACAATTTATTTTAGGACACACAAATATAATACAGTGCCTTGAAAAAGTATTCATACCCCTTGAAATGTTCCTCATTTTGTCATGTGACAACCAAAAATGTAAATGTATTTTATTGGGACTTTATGTGATAGACCAACACAAAGTGGCACATAATTGTGAAGTGGAAGGAAAATGAGAAATGGTTTTCAAAATTTTTTACAAATAAATATCTGAAAAGTGTCTCGTGCATTTGTATTCAGCCCCCTTTACTCTAATACCCCTAACTAAAATCTAGTGGAACCAATTTCCTTCAGAAGACACCTAATTAATAAATAGAGTCCACCTGTGTGTAATTTAATCTCAGTATAAATACAGCTGTTCTGAGAAACCCTCAGAGGTTTGTTAGAGAACATTAGTGAATAAACAGCATCATGAAGGCCAAGGAACAGACCAAACAGGTCAGGGATGAAGGTTAAAGCAGGATCAGGTTATAAAACAATATCCTAAGCTTTGAACATCTCATGGAGCACTGTTCAATCCATCATCCGAAAAGGGAAAGTGTATGGCACAACTGCAAACCTACCGAGACATGGCCGTCCACCTAAACTGACAGGCCGGGCAAGGAGAGCATTCATCAGAGAAGCAGCCAAGAGGCCCATGGTAACTCTGGAGGAGTTGCAGAGATCCACAGCTCAGGGGGGAGAATCTGTCCACAGGACAACTATTAGTCATGCACTCCACAAATCTGGCCTTTATGGAAGAGTGGCAAGAAGAAAGCCATTGTTGAAAGAAATCCATAAGAAGTCCCATTTGTAGTTTGTGAGAAGCCATGTGGGGGACACAGTAAACATGTGGAAGAAGGGGCTCTGGTCAGATGAGACCAAAATGTAACTTTTTGGCCTAAAAGCAAAATGCTATGTGTGACTGAAAACTAACACTGCACATCATCAAACAAAAAAGAAAAAGCCACCTAACATGACACATATACCTGTGTCATGTTCATATATCCGTCTCACTTATAATAAGTGTGGATTTATAAACCCAAGATACTTTTCTTTTCGAAGGAGAACTTTATCAAAGTCACCTCGTCTAGCAGAAATATTTAACAGGAAAATTCCCTTAACTTTCAGACCTTCAATTCTTCCCCCATGTACCTCCTTAAAATGTTGAGCTAGTGGGGTTTCCCTCTCTTTTTCATTTCTATATTTGTTCTCATTTTTAATATCTCTCAGATGTTCACCTATCCTAGTTCTAAGGGTTCTTTTTGTTTTCCCTATGTACTTCTTTTTACATGGGCATTCTATCATATAGATTACCTTATTACTAGAACAGTTAATATTCTTTATCAAGACCTGATCTTACTTCAAGTGAGGTGGAGTCTCCTTGATCTGGCGTATGGTAATATATATATATATTTTTTACCCTTATTTAGTTTCATTCAGGTATGCTGCTTGATATTCACATTTTTATATTTATACATCTTTAGAATCACTTGCTATTGTGGATTCACTTCCATCTGGGGTGGCTACCCAGGAAGGTCACATATCCATCCTTTCATGATGGTCAAGCTCATGAGAAGGTAATGGAACAATCAATGTACCTATTAATGTGGTTATTTTGTTACTGCACATGATAAGTGCACATATCCTGTTCATGTTTCCTCTACTATGATCTCCTTTTTGGTTTTCCATTTTAGGAAGTCATTCCCTCTATTGTGGTGGTTACCAAAAATATTTTTTTGAAGAATGATCTCCCTATTCAGATATCGTGTGGAAAACATGGAAATATCTGATCATGTAGTTAGGAACTTCATTGCCTTATGTGGATTCCTGATTGCCGAATAATAACTAGACTTGGAGACGCCGAATGTTTTTAATTTTGTGATTTTATTATGACTTGTTCACCATGTCTATGTCTAACCTCTTTATGATCCATGAGATCAAATAAAGTTTTTTTGTAATTATTAACAAATGCTGTTACATTACTCCGCTTGGATTTTCAAATAACCACTCTGTGTGAGCAGTATTGCACCTGTCATACTGCTATTTTTTATGCTAACACTGCACATCACCCTGAACACACCATCCTCACCGTGAAACATGGTGGTGGCAGCATCATGTTGTGGGGATACTTCTCTTCAGTAGGGACAAAAAAGCTGGTCAGAGTTGGTGGGAAGGTGGATGGAGCCAAATGCAGGGCAATCTTAGAAGAAAACCTGTTAGGCTTCATGTACACGAGCAGCTTCTAAACTCGAGTTTAGGAGCTGTTAGCATTTTTTTGTTCCTAAATTCAGCTCCTAAATTCAACTCCATAAAAGCCTAGTGTCCATGTACACACTGGCTTTTAGCAGAGTTTAGGAGCTTCCGCATTTAGGTGAGTTTAAACCTCACTCTCCTGAACGCGGAAGAATTGCATTCAGGATAGGAACGTTTTAACCACCGACCGCGGGAAAACGCAAAATGCGGCAAAAATGCGATACCGCGATTTGCGTTTTCCCACGGCCAGCGGTCAGGGTAGGCTCATGTGCATGAAGCCTTAGAGTCTGCAAAAGACTTGAGACTGGGGCAGAGGTTCACCTTCCAGCAGGAAAACGACCCTAAACATCCAGCCAGAGCTACAATTGAATGGTTTACATCAGGGGTCTCAAACCTTTCTAAACAAAGGGCCAGTTTACTGTCCTTCAGACTTTAGGGGGGCCGGACTCTCATTGGGAGTAGAAAAGGTGCTGCTGTCAGTGGTAAGAACAATGCTCCATTATTGGTGTCAGTGGGAGGAATTGTGTCCCATCGTTGGCATCATTGGGAGGAATAGTGCCCCATCATTGGTGTCAGTGTGAGAGATTGTGCTGCATATTTGGTGTCAGTAGGAGGAATTGTGCCCCTCTTTCATTTTAGTGGGAGGAACAGTTCCATGTCATTGGGAACTATGGTTGTATATCATTGGAAGGAATTGTGCCCCATCATTGGCGTAATTGGGAGGAATAGTGCTCCATCATTGGGATCCCTTGTTGTATATCATGGGAAGGAATTGCGCCCCATCATTGGTGTCAGTGGGAGGAACTGTGCCCTATCATTGGCGTCATTCGGAGGAATAATGCTCTATCATTGGTGTCTTTGGGATCCAATGTTGTATGTCATTGGGACTAACTGTGCCCCTTCATTGATGTAATTTTGGCAATTATGTCCCATTGCTGGTTTCAGTGTACGAAATAGTTCCCCAAGGGCCAGATAAAAGCAAGCAAAGGGCCGCAGTTTAGAGACCACTGGTTTAGATCAAAGCATATTCATGTGTTAGAATGGCCCAGTCAAAGTCCAGACCTAAATCCAATTGAGAATCTGTGACAAGACTTGAAAATATTATAAACAAACTTTAAATAAAAACTGTGAAGTCCATCAATCAGTCCATCAAACAGTTATTAACTCTCACTATCCTATAATATCAAAGTTCAAGATGTTTCAGAAATTCTTCTAACGATCTCCCATGTGCATGTACCTCAAAAAAAAGATAATAATCAGGGGAAAGTGTTGTTTGTGTTAAGGGTTATTGTTTATCACATTTATTTAGGAGGTGGTTTTTTGTTAAAATAAGACTTGAAAATAGCTGTTCACTGACGCTCTCCATCCAATCTGACAGAGCTTGAGCTATTCTGCAAAGAAGAATGGGCAAAGCTGGTAGAGACATACCCAAAAAGACTTGCAGCTGTGATTGCAGCGAAAGGAGGTCCTACAAAGTATTGACTCCGAGGGGCTGAATACAAATACCGCCACACTTTTCACAAATTCATTTGTAAAAAATGTTGAAAACCATTTGACATTTTTCTTCCACCTCACAATTATGTGCCACTTTGTGTTGGTCTATCACATAAAATCCCAATAAAATACATTTACACTTTTGGTTGTAACATGAGAAAATGTGGACAATTTCAAGGGGTGTGAATACTTTTTCAATGCACTGTATATTACCCAATTTTTTTGGTAAAACATAAAAGATGGGGTTGTGTCGAGCAAATAGATCCCCAACATGTCAAGTCTTAGGCCTCATTCACACGGAGGCTTAGATCCTAAAAGCAGAACTTCAATCCACATACCAGGTGGCTCCACTCCCCCTTAGCCACTTCCCTACCATGCTATAGCCGAATGGCCGCTACAGAGTGGTCATCCAGTTCTGGGAGGGCATCATGTGACCTCCTCCCAGAACGCACCCTCAGCGGCAAGCACCCAGTACTGTCTGTGATCACTGTGTCCTTTGGGCAAAAAGGGCCAATCACAGCGGCCTTTTACCACGTGATCAGCTGTGTCCAATCACAGCTGACCACCATGTAAATACATTTGCCGGTTATTGGCAGTATTATCCTCACGCTATTATCCAAAAACTGTCCAAGGAGACATCTGCACTGATAATCAGTGCCCTGATTATCAGTGCAGCCGCAAAAGTGCTGCCCATCAGTTCCCAGCAGTGCTGCCAATCCATGCCCATTAGTGCCGCCAGTCAGTGCCACCTATTAGTGCCCATCATTGCCGCCTATCAGCGCCCATCAGTGCCGCATATCAGTGCAGCATCATTAGTGCCTCATCAATGCCCACCAGTGCTGCCTCATCAGTGCAACCTATCAGTGCCCGTCAGTGCTGGCTATTAATGTCCATCAGTGCAGCCTATCAAAGTTTCTTTGTTTCCATTATAAAATTTTGCAAACAGGCAATTTTTCTCCTTCACTGATGTGCGTTGATGAGGCTGCACTGATAGGCAGCACTGATGGGCACTGATAGGCAGCACTAATGAGGTAGCACGGATAGGCGACACTGATAGGCGGCACTGATGAGCTGGCACTGATGATGGGTACTGATGATGAGTACTGATAGTTGGCACAGATAGGCGGCACTGACTGGCGCAACTGCTGGGCAGCACTGACTGGCGGCACTGCTGGGCTGCACTGATGGGCACTGGTGGGTGGCACTGCTGGGCACAGGTTGGCGGCATTTCTGGGCACAGGTGGGCGGCACTTCTGGGCGGCATTGCTGGGCACAGGTGGGTGGCACTGCTGGGCAGAACTGGTGGGTGGCACTGCTGGGTACCGATCAGGGCACTGATCATCAGTGCCCTGATGATCGGTGCCGATCCCTGCTCTGAAAACTGCCAGTTCTCTGCAGTACTTTCCTCACGATCTGACAGCATGAGGAAAGTGCAACCGAGAACTGGCAATTGCATTTCCTGGTGATCAGCGTGTCATTGGACACAGCTGATCATGTGCTAAAAGGTCACTGTGATTGGCCTTTTACCATATCACGTGATCAGCTGTGTCCGTAGGACACAGAGATCACGGAGATCGCCGGGTGCGTGCCCCTGGGGCCGCACAGGAGAGCGTGTTCTGGGAGGACGTCATATGACGCCCTCCTTGAACTGGCCGGCCGCAGTGCAACCGTCATTTGGCTATCTGCCGTCAGCAACTAGTTAAGGAGCCACAGTTGTGGCACAAGCACAGATGTGCCCATGGGTTCTAGCCTTCTCCTGACAAAGCCCGTTGGCACATCTGTGCACGCACAGTTGATTTTCCGCACACACGCAAAGACAGGTACATTTTCGGACTCCCCTACTGGCAGTCTTTGCCATCTACAGCCAATAGTCTGTATATTGGTGGTTTGTTTATGTGGCTTGTGTCGCCAGGTGCTGTGAGCAGGCAGCCCAATCAAGTCTATGGGGAACCCAGTGGCTGTACGGACACAGCAGCTTGCCCCAATTTGAAAGACGTGGGGTTAAGCGGCCCCCACATGCATCACTGTCTCCTGCACTCCACTGAAGCTGTTCACTCTCCATTAGCTTCTTCCCCAGCTTCTTCGTGATGAAGTGACAAAATCCTAATTGCTTCCAGGACCTTATTAGCTATGGGAGATGAGTGAATGTACCTCCGCTGTTCTCCCTGCCTGCTACCTGACAACACATGCCATGCTGGTCTTGGGGCCACAAGGGGGGATAATGGAAAACTTGGCAGCGGGGTCAAAGAGGAAGGCACCTATTCAGGGGGGTCTATGGAACAGCCGCCAAATTGCTTCCATCTGAAAGCCGACAGCTTGGGACATTTATAGCTAGGAACAGGGCTGCCATCAGAGGGGGGAACAACCAATACATATGTAGGGGGCCCATGCATCCCGAGGAGCCCGGCCATCCAGGCATTCTGAGCTGCCCACTCTGGTGTTTTGTTTCAGTAACAAGAGGAGAGCACACAGCTCAAAAGACAGATTCCTCCTCTCACAGCTTCCTTGGGGCTCCTGGCTGGCTGGTAGGTGGGGCATCAGTTGTCACGTGAACGGTGGTAGACTAGGCTGGAAGAGAAAGATGGAGAACAAAACGTCCAACTTATAGTGTGCATCTGAGAGGAAAGGGCCACTCTGGCACGATCAGTTACTGACAGCCGGGATCAATTTGGAGTTTGGTTGGTGGCGCCGATGGTGAAGAGGAAAGCATCCATGGACTGTCCTGTCCATTAAATGGAGGTGCTGCAGGTGCTACTGCACAATTCCTATAACTGTTGGCTTAGCTGACATTCCTGCAGACTGGCATTATATGAATGCTGAGGGGCTATATGTGGATGTGGGGCTGTGTTGTGACGTTTTCTTTGCTGAATTGGCCTGTCTCTTAGCTATTTGGGGATGTCTCTTGCTGGATTGGGCTGTCTCTTTGATATATGGGCAGTCTCTTTGCTAGATTTGGATGTCTCTTTGCTGGATAGGGATGTCTCTTTGCTGGACTGGGCTTTCTCTTTGCTATATAGGGCTGTCTTTTTGCTGGATTGGGCTGTCTCTTTACTGAATATATGGGGAAGCCTCTGCTGGGCCTTCACTTTGCTCGATTGGGATGTCTCTTGAAAGACTCGGTGGGATGGTTAGTGGACAGATTTGGTGGGACAGCCCTGGGGAATGTTGATAGTCAGTCCCAGGATGGCGCAGGCCTAAAACTGTGTAAGGGCCCCCCCCCCCCCCCCCCCGCCAGCATGCAGGGAATGCACTAACCAGTTCAGCTCTCATACCTATATACCCTTGTTTACATTTCTTTTTATTCATCGTTCCTTTTTTACATTTTAGGAAATAATAGTAAGATTGTGTATTTTGAATTATACAGAAGTTTTATTTTTAATGTAATAAGAGATTTACTAATTGACTGGCTATATCTAAAGGGCATTTAACAAAAAAGCCCATTCTCCTGATGTTACTGACTTTATGTCAGGATATTGCCGATAAAACACACAACTAAGCAATTTCACTGAATCTAATTGAAAATGGTGGGAATGAGAAATTATAATCTGATAAAATATTACACTTGTTCAACAAACTGGTGGATAAAATCCCAAATGAACCTCAATTACTGTATTGTCCATGCTGCCACATTCCTATAAACAAATTTAATAAGCTTAGTTAGGCATTTTATCACAGCTGCTTGTTCTGTGATAGCCAGATATGGGCGGCAGGCCAAATGGGCTTGTGAAATGGACAAGATTGACTATGTGGAACGAAATGATCGCGTGGGATGAGGAGAAACGTGACTCATGCAAACTTATGTGGACGGTATGGTCTCATTTCAGATATTTCTCTGATTTTGACTTATTTATCTCTACAAAGGTTTGAAGACCCAGCCATCTCTGGGTTGCTCCTATTGTTCCTTTGAATTATCACCCTTTACTCAGCCTTCTTTCCTTCTGCTACAGTGCCTTGCAAAAGTATTCATACCTCTTGAAATTTCTAAATTTTGTCACTTTACAACCAAAAACGTAAATGTATTTTATTGGGATTTTATGTGATAGACCAACACAAACTGGCACATAATTGTGAAGTGGAAGGAAAATTGTGTTTTTCAAATTTTTTACAAATAAATATCTGAAAAGTTTGGTGTGTATTTGTATTCAGCCCCCTTTACTCTGATACTCCTAACTAAAATGTAGTGGAACCAATTGCCTTCAGAAGTCACCTATTAAGTAAATAGAGTCCACCTGTGTGTAATTTAATCTCAATATAAATACAGCTGTTCTGTGAAGCCCTCAGAGGTTTGTTAGAGAACAGCACCATGAAGGCCAAGGAACACACCAAACAGGTCAGGGATAACGTTGTGGAGAAGTTTAAAGCAGGGTTAGGATATAAAAAAAAAATCCCAAGCTTTGAACATCTCATGGAGCACTGTTCAATCCATTATCCGAAAATGGAAAGAGTATGGCACAAGTGCAAACCTATCAAGACATGGCCGTCCACCTAAACTGACAGGCCGGGCAAGGAGAGCATTAATCAGAGAAGCAGCCAAGAGGCCCATGGTAACTCTGGAGGAGCTGCATAAATCCACAGCTCAGGTGGGAGAATCTGTCCACAGGACAACTACTAGTAGTGCACTCCACAAATCTGGCCTTTGTGGAAGAGTGGCAAGAAGAGAGCCATCGTTGAAAGAAAGCCATAAGAAGTCCCATTTGTAGTTTGCGAGAAGTCATGTGAGGGACACAGCAACATGTGGAAGAAGGTGCTCTGGTCAGATGAGACCAAAATTGAACTTTTTGGCCTAAAAGCAAAACGTTGTGTGTGGCGGAAAACTAACACTGCACATCACCCTGAACACACCATCCCCACCGTAAAAGACAGTGCTGGTAGCATCATGTTGTGGGGATGCTTTTCTTCAGCAGGGACAGGGAAGCTGGTCAGAGTTGATGGGAAGATGGATGGAGCCAAATACAGGGCAATCTTAGAAGAAAACCTGTTAGAGTCTGCAAAAGACTTGAGACTGGGGCGGAGGTTCACCTTCCAGCAGGACAACGACCCTAATCATCCAGCCAGAGCTACAATGGAATGGTTCAGATCAAAGCATATTCATGTGTTAGAATGGCCCAGTCAAAGTTCAGACCTAAATTTAATTGAGACTCTGTGAAAAGACTTGAAAATTGCTGTTTACAGATGCTCTCCATCCAATCTGACAGCGCTTGATCCATTTTGCAAAGAAGAATGGGCAAAAAATGTAACTCTCTAGATGTTCAAAGCTGGTAGAGACATCCCCCAAATGACTTGCAGTTGTAATTACAATGAAAGGTGGGGACTGAATATAAATGCACACCACACTTTTCAGATAATTATTTGAAAAAGATTTGAAAACCATTTATCATTTTCCTTCCACTTCACAATTATGTGCCACTTTGTGTTGGTCTATCATATAAAATCCCAATAAAATACATTTACGTTTTTGGTTGTAACATGATAAAATGTGTAAAATGTCAAGGGGTATGAATGCTTTTTCAAGGCACTGTATTTTCACTGTATACTGTGTGTCACCAGATAGATGGTTTGTCTGCATTGCCTGCTAACCCAGATATCACACTCCCAGTTAAACTGGATGTAGCCATTGGGTCTCCCATCTGGTGCATACCTTTTCTTTTACAACTGTCACTTTTTTTTTTAACATAGCCCACTGATGCTGTTTACATCTCCCTTTAAATGAGTCATTTATGTGGTGGCGTAGGTACAGAATAATCTCAGCCTTCCTGAATGACTGAATGCCAAAGTTATTCTGTGTTGGTGCTGCCATCGCCACATGAAGTCATTCAGAAGGAGATGTAAATATGTGATCAGCAGTGGTGGCACAGGCACAGAATAACCTCGGCTTGCAGTCATTCTGCACTGCTGTCTACACATTGTCAATATTGACATGTCATGGCACATAGGGTCCATTTACACTGTACATAGGTGCAAACATTTACATGTGTACAACATAAATTACTGTCAAAATCAGACTGTTAGCACAAATTATTCTAGCTTTGATTTACGCAACTAAAAGCCACAGACCAGTGTAATAAGTCCATAGCACTGCTATACTGCTGCATTCATATCCATATATATTACGGATCTTAATGCAGGTTATGTATGCATGCGTTGCTGAGCCCTAATTGTTCAGCAGGGATGACTTTGCTGGTCATTAGTCCCTGAAAAAAGATTGTTGCATGCATGGCCCATATTCACTTGTTCTCCTTCCCGTCCTCATAAAGTGGTACTAAACCCAAACAAATGCATATATTGCAGCTTTCCAATTCTTAAATGTGGTGGTTGCATTTGTTTTTTTAATGCTTTTTCCCTTTTTTTTCACCTGCTAATCTGGCCAGTAACACACCTCCTGTCTTAGGGTGTCTCCACACTGGATGGAGGATCAACAGAGACACTGAAGAACCTTAGAATTGTCAGTCTGTGGAGAGGGTAGTATTAGATACACTAACAGATTTAGCCCTGGTTCACACTGCTGCGACTTCTGGTGCGACTTGCTGTAACCTGCACAATTCCAAAACCCCAACACACACATTCCTGCATCAAAGAGTGGCTATATGTGTAGGTGGGTGCTGTACAGTGACCAATCGGCTGGAACCGAGAAACATCACAAGGGAGAAATGTCACCAGCACACCAAAGTACCACTTCATCAGGCATGTGACGTCACATGCCTGATGAAGGGGTCCTGCAAGCAGGGCTGTGGAGTCAGAGTCGGAGTCGTGAAGTCGGAGTCAATTTTGGGTACCTGGAGTCGGAGTCGGCAAACAATGCTCCGACTCCGATTAAATTTAGATTGGAATTAAAAAAAAAGCAAGTTTAAATGTCCCAATTCACAAAAAGTTATTATTAATGACTTCTCTACTTCTCTCTATCGTTAGTGATGTGGCCAGAATAGTTACTGCAATGTCACCCACCCAAGTCAGTGTCGAAAGATTATTTTCAGCCCTAAAAATAATAAAGTCTGACTTAAGAGCCTCTATGAAAGAGGATCTGGCAGAGGCAATTCTCTTCCTTAGAACTCTACATTGAATTGATTTGCATTTGCTAAGCCTATAACTACATTTCAAGATTAATATAAACCAGTGGTGGGCAACCTTTTTTTTCAACTGAGCCAAATCTCGCCAAAACCATGATTGAAATTTATTTTGAGAGCCACATTTTTAAAACTGAAAATACATCTCCCATATAGTAATTCATCCCCCATTAATTCATCCCCCATATAGTAATTCATCCCCCATAGTGTAATTCATCCCCCATAGTAATTCATCCCCCATATAGTAATTCATCCCCCATCGTAATTCATCCCCCATAGTAATTCATCCCCCATATAGTAATTCATCCTCCATATAGTAATTCATCCCCCATAGTAATTCATCCCCCATATAGTAATTCATCCCCCATAGTTAATTCATCCCCCATATAGTAATTCATCCCCCATATAGTAATTCATCCCCCATATAGTAATTCATCCCCCATAGTATTTCATCCCCCGTATAGTATTTCATCCCTCGTATAGTATTTCATCCCTCATATAGTATTTCATCCCCCATATAGTAATTCATCCCTCATATAGTATTTCATCCCTCCATATAGTATTTCATCCCCCCATATAGTATTTCATCCCCCCCATATAGTATTTCATCCCTCATATAGTATTTCATCCCTCATATAGTAATTCATCCCCCTCATATAGTATTTTCATCCCTCATATAGTAATTCATCCCTCATATAGTATTTCATCCCCTCATATAGTATTTCATCCCCCCATATAGTATTTCATCCCTCATATAGTAATTCATCCCTCATATAGTATTTCATCCCTCATATAGTATTTCATCCCCCCATATAGTAATTCATCCCTCATATAGTATTTCATCCCTCATATAGTAATTCATCCCTCATATAGTAATTCATCCCCCATATAGTAATTCATCCCTCATATAGTAATTCATCCCTCATATAGTATTTCATCCCCCCATATAGTATTTCATCCCCCCATATAGTATTTCATCCCCCCATATAGTATTTCATCCCCCATATAGTAATTCATCCCTCAAAGTAATTCATCCCTCATAAAGTAATTCATCCCTCATATAGTATTTCATCCCCCCATATAGTATTTCATCCCTCATATAGTAATTCATCCCTCATATAGTATTTCATCCCCCCATATAGTAATTCATCCCTCATAAAGTAATTCATCCCCTCATATAGTATTTCATCCCCCACAGTACTATCCCCCCCCCCTTCTAGTAAGCCAAGTCCCCCGTGTCAATTCACTTACCTTTTGCGTTCCTCTCGCTGTCTTCCCGCGCCGTTCGGGTCTTCAGGGCGGACTGTGAGAGGAGCCTAGCTCCCCTCCCCTCACGTTCGGCACGCTGCCCCGCCTACACACATCCTGACAGCCACATCCGCGGGCCGGATTAAAAGGTCCGCGCGGACTTTTGGGGCTGCCATTAGAGTGGGTAAAGAGCCGCATGTGGCTCGCGAGCCGCGGCTTGCCGACCACTGATATAAACCATTTCTAGGTTTTACAGATTTTGTTTTTGGTTCATATAGATAAGCTTTGTTTTTGTTCTAAAACAACCAAATAATGTGGTTTATATTTTTGGACTGGTAAAGTTCCTGTTCCTGATGTTTATGCCTGCTGCTACTATCCAGCCACTTGATTAATTAATAAAAAAAAATTAATAAAACTTTGTTGTTTTTCATTGTGTTTGTCTTTTGCTTAAACTGTTCAATACAGTAGACTGTTGGCTTCCCAGCCAGTAGTCCTGTGGTAATGACATGTATGTTGCCTTTCTTTCCTTCAAGGAATGTTTAAAATACATTTGCATATTAATACAGAGGAGTCGGAGTCGGGGAGTCGGAGTCGGAGGTACACAAAACTGAGGAGTCGGAGTCGGAACATTTATCTACCGACTCCACAGCCCTGCCTGCAAGACTCCGAAATGTTGCTCTTGCTATAACTTTGTGATTGCTTATTAAAGATTTGGACCCATATTGGAGTACTTTGATGTGCTGGTGACATTTCTCCCTTGCTGCAACCTGCAACACAGAAAGACACATGAGAAGTAAAAACACATTCATTGCAATGGGTGCTGTCGTAATTTCTGAAACTCACATCACAGCGACACAAAAACATTGTTCCTGCACTGCTTTTCTGTCTTTAACCACTAGCCTACCGGGCACTTATACCCCCTTCCTGCCCAGGCCAATTTCCAGCTTTCAGCGCTGTTGCACTTTGAATGACAATTGCACGGTCATGCAACACTGTACCCATATGAAATTTTTATCATTTTTTGTGACAGATAGAGCTTTATTTTGGTGGTATTTAATCACCTCTGGGTTTATTTTTTCTTAAACAAAGCAAAAACCACTGAAATTTTTGAAAAAAAAGTTTTTTCTTAGTTTTTGTTATAAAATTTTGTACGTAAGTGATTTTTCTCCTTCACTGATGTGCACTAATGAGGCTGCAGTGATGGGCACTGATAGGCTGCACTGATGGACACTGATAGGTGGCACTGATGAGGAGGCACTGGTAGGTGGCACTGATGGGCATTGACAAGCATCACTGATGGGCACTGAATGGCAGCATTCATATATGGCAATGACTGGCACTGATAGGAGGCGCTGACTGACACTGTTAGGCGGCACTGATAGGCAGCACTGACGGGCACTGACTGGCACTGATATGTGGCACTGATTGGCAGCACTGATAGGTGGCACTGAAAGGCAGCTCAGATGGGCACTGATATGTGGCATTGATGTGCACTGGTAGGCACTGAAATGTGGCACTGATATGTAGCATGGATGAGCACTGACGGGTGGCACTGCTGGGGCTACACTGATCATCAGTGCCCTGATGATCAGTGTACATGTCCCCTCTGAGCGATGCCGATTACTGGCTCTCCTCTCCTCTCGAGCTGTCAGCGTGACAGCTCATGGGGAGAGAAATGCTGATAACCGGCACTTCCCTGTTTACATGTGATCAGCTGTGATTTGACACAGCTGATCACATGACCGAGTCGACATCTTCGGCTCTTTCCGTTGATCGGTGATCCGCTGTGTCCGAGGGACACAGCGCACCACCGATCGCCGCGCTGCGTGCTCCCGGAGCCTCGCATGCGCAATTAGAATGGGAGGACGTCATATGACGTCCTCCCACAACGAGAAAACCGCCTTGCACCCGTCATTGTACTATATGGCGGGTGGGAGGCGGTTAATGCAACATCAGTGCCAAAGACTACAATGTTAAAATCACGGAAGTCTCAATGTAGTCGTATCTTTGCCTTATCTCTGCGAATCTGGCTGAGACTTCAGAGGGTTTTTTTAGGCCAAATTCAAAAAAGTCACATTGAAGTTACAAGTCACAATGCAAGGTCGCACTGGAAGTTGCACAACTTTGAGGTCGCAGCAGTCAGAACTGAGCCTTGAAAGGACTTGACTAACAAATTCAAGCTGAACTCAAGATAACACTTTTGAAGCAGTTACAGCAGTTTTTTTTTTACTTTCGATATAAAAAATTTGCATAAATAAATAAATAAAAGCTAACCATTGTAATCACCCCAGTTGGTGTTAATTAATTTGACTCATCCCTCAAATTACCATAATAACAGACTTACTGGCCAGATCAACAGGTGAGAATAAAAAAAAAAACGAATGCAGCCACCACCTCTAAAAATTGGTAAGCTGAAAAGTATTACATTTTTGTTTTTGGGTTTACTACTGCTTAAAGTATATGGATTCCTTTAAAAATGACTGGACTCGGAAAACTGACAGCAAAAACTTATCAACCTAAAGAGAATGCTAGAAACTTTTTAAAATTATTTAATTTCTTTGCTAAATTGATTTATCCAATTTAATAAGATTTTCATACGACTGGTTTGCTTAATGTCCAAGTTTTTCTTTGCTTCCATCTCAATTGCTGCTTCCATTTCCTCCTTTAACACACTGTAGGCCTGCTCAGCCCGAGAAATTTCCTTTTCGACGTTAAAGTGGACCATCTGTCGGCTCATGATAGGCACAACCAGGTTAAAGTCATTCACTTTCTTGTTTAGCTTTATTATGTTTTCTCTAAAATTCTCACAGATTTTCATCCATTCCTTTTCCTTCAAATAAGTCATGGGCTCTCCTATTTTCTTACGAGAAGCTACCAACTCATTTCGAAGCTTATCGGTCGTATCTCGTATTTCCTTTTGCAGAACAATCCATTCAGGCTGATAACCGTTATCTATTAGAATCCGATTGAGGTTGTGAGTCATCGGGTCGATATGTGGACACGTGGAAAACTTGGTAATGGGCTTTCCTTTGCCGCTGAGGTTGTCAAAGTCTCCCTTTGCCATGGACTCTTGGATCAGGTCTTCCACCAAGCGTTCTATGGCTTGAGTTATTTTTACCTTTTTACTCTGCCTGACGTCCTTTGCAACCATTGAGTTTTCAGCATACTCGCGTTCAAATTTTTTCTTTCGAAAATCCAGAACTTGGTCGGTTGCTCGATCCACACGAAACTGGATGTACTGTTTCTGCCGCTGGCTAGGGGTGCCATAGCCAACTCCTTCATTGCTCAAGTAATGCCTGTGCTGTGGTATCTTGTACTCCGAGATCTTTTCCTCATCATCTTCAAGGGCTTGTCCTGTTTTTGACTCTTGAGCCAAGTGTATCAAGAGGTCTCTGTAGGCTTCATCGATCTGCATAAACATGTTGGCATTGGCAGTGATGGCACCGCTATCTGGATGATATTTCTTTGCTAACACCCTATAGGAGTGTCTAACTTCATCTGCGGAGCAGCCTTCTGGAACATTTAGAAGTCGATAACAGTCATTAATGCTCCTTTTGGGCTTGTAGGTTGCATGCATACGGACGGTTGGGTTCCATGAACATAAAGAGAGTGAATACTTTATATTTTGAGGCAAAAAAAAAAAAAACCGTACAAGTTTCATAATTGCAATTCTGTTTTTAAATAAAACCTAAAATAAGTAAAAAAAAGAACAAATTAGATTTGGGCTGAAAAAAACATAAAAATTGCTAATTGGTTGACATAGGTCTTTGTCCTTTGCACAAGACTACGTAGAAGGAGCAAAGTCCTCCAAAGAGATAGATGTTACTAACACCAAGCATTCTGCCATTTGTTATATAACAGAACTGATTTGCTTCAGTCTGGTACTAATAATTTTCTTTTGGCATAAGAGCTTCAAAAAAGCTTATCTACCATAAGCGATATTTGAACATAAGACCTGTACAAGCTTACTAGCATTATCAAGGTACATTAAGTATGTGCAACGTCTGAAAAATATTGAGTTTAGGGTTTCCAGTGATAGGGAACTGTTAATGACATTTTAGACAATTGTGCTCTTCCAACCTTGTGGTAACTGTTTGGGGCCCTTTTCTGTTCCAGCACAACTGTGCCCATGTATACAAGACCAGCACCATAAAGACATGGTTTGATAATTTTGGTAAGAAGGAACTCGAGTCAGCTGCACAGAGTCATGACCCCAACCCTACTGAACATCATTGGGTTGAATTGGAATGCTGACTGTGAGCCAGGTCTTCTCATCCAGCACCAGTACCTGACCTTACGATGTCAGTAGGCTGAATGGGCACTAATTTCCACAGACGGCCTCCAAAATCTTGTGGAAAGCCATCCCAAAATAGTAAAGGCTGTCAGAGCCACAAAGCATGGACAGTAACTCCATATTAAGCCCTGGTTTACACCAAATGCAGCTTTGAAATCGCACTACTTTAGTGCGATTTCAAAGCCACTGATCAGTGCAACTTCATGTGCAGCTTGCCGACATCTGTGTGACTTCATGCACAGATGTCAATGCAAGCCCCACATGAAATTGCAAATTGCAAAAGTGCAGGAACCTTTTTCAAAGTTGGTGCAAATCGGAGTCGTAGTGATTTGTACAATTCCATAACCGGTAATAGGGTGCGACTCATAATGCGACTTTAATCTGTCAAGTTGCATGACAAGTAGTATTTAAATGCTGAAGAGTTTTTTTTAACTTAACTTAAGTGAACATGCACTCTATGTTATTCATGCTCCACAAAAATGTTTGCTTCATTCTTGTGCCCAACATGTGCATAATATTTTATCATGAATATGTGATAGTTTACCTTTTTGTGGATTGTATTTGAGATGTGCATAGAGAGATTACACAAACACTTGTAGGTACAACATTTAATTAAGTAATGACAGATACAGATAACAAATGTAATAATATTAGGAAATATAGCAAGAATACTTAACTAAAGATGCCTTTTTGCCCCACGGGTCCCTCCATCTTAGATGGTGTGGCACAGATGATCACAATCAAATGCATGCATGATAGCAGCTCTGAGATGAGACAATTATTCCAAGTTTTAGCTGTGCTATATACAGGACTTAAATATAAAGTAAGGTGCAGCGCTAAAACTTAGAATCAATATAACCACATATGCGAAATGGTTCCATAGATCAAACACATGAATAAATATATATAAATAAATAAAGTGACTCGTGATAAAGTGCTGAATATATCAAACAAGATAAAGGTGACTCAGTGGTATTGCATAAATATGTCACTGTGTAGTGACCAATAGTGCTATAAAGTGCTAAAATAGATGAGATCTAAATTGTCCAAATATAGGTGCATGGAAGATCTGGTAATCTTCAGTTATTGGTGGTCTATACTGTACTATGGTGACATGACCAATGATGTAAAGACTGCGCACTCACCAGATGCACAATCAATGAGCACATTTAGAGACATTGCTCTCAATGGATGAACTGGAGGCCCCTTTAAAGGTGAATAGGTCTGGTCAAGTATTCCCCCTCACTGCTCACTCTGCTCTCAGTAATGGCTCTGTCACTCTTCTCATGTAGCTCTCTAATTTCTCATCTGTTCAGTCTCCAACAGCAGTGTTGACATAGTTCAGCTTTGATGGCCATCAAGCATGTGGCAGCATCAGACCATGTGCAAGACCTTCTGGTGAGTGCGCAGTCTTTACATCATTGGTCACGTCACCACAGTACTGGATAGACCACCAATAGCTGAAGATTACCAGATCTTCCATGCACCTATATTTGGACAATTTAGATCTCATCTTTTTTAGCACTTTATAGCACTATTGGTCACTACACAGTGACAAATTTATGCAATACCACTGAGTAACCTTTATCTTGTTTGATATATTCAGCACTTTATCACGAGTCATTTTATTTATTTATATATATTTATTCATGTGTTTGATCTATGGAACCATTTCGTATATGTGGCTATACTGATTCAAAGTTTTAGCGCTGCACCTTACTTTATATTTATGCTTTGGAGGGTTTTTTTGGTGCCTTTTGGTGTTTCAGCAGCTTATTGAACCTTTACCGCTCACTTAACCCTTTTGTGTATATACAGGACTTGTGTAAGTAAATGGCCAACCCCCTTGGAACCTTTTAAGGACTTGGTCAGTTTGTAATGACATTCCTTTGGTATGAAGTCAGCGAAGATAATTAGATTTTGCAGGCTTGCTTTCTTAGATATTGTGAGACAACTCCGATAAGGAAATATGTTCACCACTGCTGGCTCTAAATCGCACAGTGCCGCTTCTTAAACTTCCAGGCAAGAGCGTGCATGTCAGGGATCCAGGTATGACCAGAGATGTGTGGACTGACACAGGGAAGTAGCAGGCTTCAGGAACACAGGCGTAGTCAGGGCTGGAGAGGTGGAATGGTCAGGCGGGCCGTAGGGTACTGTCAGGCACCGCCCGGCGGGATCTCTAGTGACCCATAAAACAGGATTCCCCAGGGCGCGGAGTCCAAGCCCCAGTCTGCCTTTTCACCAGAGCCCCTGATGGTGGGGATGGACTTGGCGCAGGACTGAGACCAGGTCGCGGCCCCTGAGTGCACCCAACTGTGGTAGAGGGGTCCGCCGAGGGTATGTACCGGGGGGAAAGCCTGATGTGGAGGGGCAGGCAGGTTTGGACAGTAGTGACTGGATCCGTGCGGGATGGATGGATCGTCTGGGTAGCGTCAGGCGTAGTCAGGCAGGCCAGGTCAGCAACGTGCGGGCAGTGAGGTACCGGAGGAGCAGGCAGAGAATAGTCAGGGTCACAAGCCGGGTTCAGTAACTCATGGGCAGCGTGGTACAGTGGATCAGGCAGAGAATGGTCAGGGTCACAAGCCGGGTTCAGTAACTCACGGGCAGCACGGTACAGAGGATCAGGCAGAAGGATGCTCAGGCAAGCCAGGGGTTAAACAGGAGACGGTCAGCAGGGTCAGGAACAATGCAGAGTCGGCAACAAATCAGATAGGCAGAGGAACAGGAACACAGGATACAAGGTACAGGGGCTCATGGGAAACAACACCAAGGCACCGACTGCAGGTCTGGCCATTCCTTAAATACACCTCCTGCAATCAGCCTCAGGTGATGGCTGCCTGCAGGAGTGAGCTTCTGATTGCTGAGAGCACCTGCTGGCCAGCTCTGATACTACAGCCCACATGGTAGGTGAGTCCCACCACCAGTGCTGAGTCCATTCCTGACAGTGCACTACAAGTTCTATGACTGCTTGCCCAACCATCATACTTCGCAAGCACACCTTAAACACAATAAGAACCTTGGCCACACTGTACATGTGCAACTTTAGTACAGTACCAAAGTGGAAACACTACTAAAGACCCAGGCCCACCACAATGCTCTTCCCATTCCTGGCAACCAAGCAGGCACAATGAGAAGGAACCCCCTAACACACTGCACATGTTTGCCCTATGCATAGTGCATACAGAACAAGACAGACTCAGCCCGGATCACACACATCAGGGTGGCTCCAGGGAGACCATGCAAGAAAGCACAGCCACCCTGGAAGTAGAAGTTATGGATACCAAACTTTACAATGTCTTCAGCATTTAGCGACTGGTGATGGCAATTATCAATGTCAAATTTAAAAAGATACTTTCTCCTTCAAACCCGAGTAAAGCGATTTTCAGGTGTTTTTACTTGAACGTCTTTTTCTAAGCATATATGAGCATTTTAGAAGCATACAGCATTACAAGCATTTTACATGTGTATTCAAGCCTCGGGTGTTTGTGTTTAAGCCAATGGAAAAGACTAGGGGGAAGAGATTAGTTAATACATAAAGGAGTGGTTCAAGAAGAAACACATTAAGGTCATGGAGTGGCCTAGGCAGCCTCCAGATCTTAATCTTATAGAAAATGTTTGGAGGGAACTGAAACTTCGAGTTGCACAGTGACAGCCAAGAAACCTTAAGCATTTAGAGAAGATCTGTAAAGAAGAGTGGACCAAAATCCCTCCTGAGATGTGTGCAAACCTGGTAAACGACTACAAGAAACGTCCTATCGCTGTGCTTGCCAACAAGGGATTTGCCACCAAGAACTAAGTCATGTTTTGCTTGGGGATCAAATACTTATTTTACTCACTGAACGGCAAATCAGTTTATAAAATTTGTATTATGTGTTTTTTCTGGATTTGTGGTTGATATTCTGTCTCTATCATTTAAAATACACCTATGGTAAAAATTATAGACCCTTCATTTCTTTGTTAGTGGGAAAACTTAAAAGTCTGCAGGGGATCAAGTAATTATTTTCCCCACTGTATAGGCTAACAAATGCCTGAAATCAGGCTTTTTCAGGCATTTTTGATGAAGTGTATGGGGCCAAAAACACTCAATTCTGCCAAAAAAGCAGCTCATGTACTTTTATGAGTGCCTGGAGTCCAGCTCCAAGTGAAAGGACACTCATACGCGAGCAGGGGCTATTGAAGACAATGGAACATGGGTAGTTGAGTGTTTTGGAGCTTTGAGCTTCAAGCCACAAAATGCTTAGGTGTGAATGGGGCCGTATTATTTATTTCAGGGACTTATATAG